GCTTGCCTAGCATGTGTGAGGCTCTGGGTTTGATTCTCAGCACCACATATAAATAAACGAATAAAATATAGGTTCATCAACATCTAAAAAAAAATATTTTGAAGAAAAAAAAAAAGAGTCTCAATAAGAAGAGCATATCTCCTTTTTTTCTCAATGGGGTTTGTCAGCTGCATTTCCAGAGCAGGATGGATTGGTCACACTTGGCCTTCTCTTCCACCCTCTGGAGGCATCTTGTCTCATTTTTTGCTTTTTGTTTATTTTTTTTTCCAGAATAATTATTTAAACAGCTGAGTAAGGGAGAGTGTTCTGTCTTATTCAGTATACAATTATAGTAAATATATGCTGCTTAATAAAATAAAAATTGAAGTTTAGTTCCTGTGTGAAAATGTGAAATCCACATTTCAGGTTGTTCAGTAGTCGTGTGACAATTGGCTACTCTGTTGCACAGCGCAAATGTGGAACATTTCCATTATCACAGAAACCTTTATTGGACAGTGTCATCTAAAAGCATTCCTCTCATTTTCTGGAAAGGGCCCTTTAATTAGGATATATAGTTATCCTCACATACTGAGGAAAATACCATCTCTTCATTTGGGTCATTTAAACATACCAGGGACCACACAGGTTATGTGTCTTTATCTTTTTTAGGTAAGGTTTGTTTGCATCTTCTCTCAACAATTATCAGAAAGTCATTTTTTCCTGCCTCATAGAGACATTTCCAATATATAATTACATAAAGGATGCATTGAAATCAAGAACACAGTGCACAACAGCTTTAGATACAAATGGCTTTCCCCTAAATTTGGGGTCATCCATATATCTAAAATAAGTGGATCATCCAAGTAGGAAAAAAAGAAATGTCTTTGCCAATTTGACTCCAGTTGGTTGTATGAACTAAAACATTCCAAGGATAATTATGTAATCATTGTAAAGAGAAATTGTAAATATTCATTCCTAAAGTATGCTATTCCTTTTGAAAAGTTAACTTGGGGTTGGGTGGAATGAGGACATTCAAGATGTTGATATGGGTTTGTTCTTTTCAACCAGACTTTTTTTTTTAAATATTTATTTTTTAGTTATAGTTGGACACAATACCTTTATTTCACTTATTTATTTTATTTTTACGTGGTGCTGAGGATCGAACCCAGGGCCTTGTGCATGTGAGGCAAGTGCTCTACCGCTGAGCCACAACCCCAGCCCCTCAACCAGACTTAATAGTGATGAAAAGGAGATATCTGCTAGATTTTCAGTTATATTCTTTTTTTAACATTTATTTTTTAGTTGTAGTTGAATACACAATACCTTAATTTTATTTATTTATTTTTATGTGGCACTGAGGACCAAACCCAGGGCCTCGCACTAGGTGAGCGTTCTACTGCTGAGCCACAACCTCAGCCCCTTCAGTTATATTCTTTTAAATTAAAAATGTCTGTTCACCAGACACTCAAAATTTCTCTTAACACCATTCTTTAAGGAGAAAATATAAATGCTTGGGAAAAGCAGTCCCATTATAGCTGCCTTGAGCCTAGATTTCTGAAATGGAGACTAGAATTCTAAAGAAAATTTCTATCTATGTTGTTTTAATGGAACATCTTAAGGTACTAAATTGAACATTTCTCTCTTGTATTTAAAGTAGTTTTTAAATCATCTTACAGCATACATATTCCTTTCTCAGTTCTAAAATTGTTGTGGTACAAAACCATCCTTGACATTTGAATGTATGATTAGATCATTAACTGGCCCGGGTTGGGGGGGTTCGGGGAGGTGGGGGCAGGGAGCCTGGCATCTTTGTGCAGGTGATCAGATGACATAAGCAGTCTGGTTTTAATTTGTGGCCAGTACTGATTGTAACTAGGAGAGACTTGCTCTTTTTGTGGAATTGGCTGACTATTTCCCTACATCTGGAGTTAATAAACTCTTTGAGACCACATCAGTTGCGCTTTGCCACAAGAACTCTTTGATCTGAAAAATCAAGACTGGCACAACTGCTGCCTCGAAACATTGCATCTGTGTTTTTGCAAGCTATGGTTAAGATACCAAAAGTGGAGTTAGAATTGTTGTTAAATGGGTGTCTTTGAGAACCATTTATTTCAAAGCATTTTTATTATGATAAAACTTTTGAATTTGTTAGAACCTAAGTGATAAAGTAGTTTAGGGTTTTATTTACCATTTTTATTTATAATATCTTTTAAAACTCCTTTTTAAAAAAATTGTGTTTATGAAGCCTAACAGTAAAAACAAACTTTACCTCTAAATGAGGCCTGTTTTTTCCATACAGCTTCAGAATTTTCTTGTAAGGGTAAGCAAGTGTCTTCCTCTGCTGTGTGTGATGTATCTTGTTTTTTTGTTTGTTCGGTTTGTTTGTTGTTTGTTTTGCTTTCCATGACTGCCATCAGTCAATTATTATATGATCAGTATATTCTGTATTTAGCAGTTTGTAAATCAGTAAAATCAAGTGTGTCCTTTACTTCCTTTTCTAATTGCAAACATTTTAAAAATTTAAAAATGTATGTGTGTCATGTATGGAACAGAGTGATTAAATGAGATTAAGGATGAAAAAATGTAAATGGGCATATTATGTTGAAATTTAAACTGAAAATTATGGAGGGTTTTTTTTTTTTTTCAATAACACTTCAGAACTTTCTCACAGTTACCAAGTGTGAGGGTTACATGTTGTTACTGTCCAAATGGAATTAGAGAATTTTGTATTTCATACTCTCAGATCAAGGATGGTATATATAGTAAATGCACATTTGTGGTAAAAAGTACATCTTCTGATGCAGTCTTCTAAATTTGATTCTGATTTGTATTTCCTGGATAAATCTATAGATGTACTCTACCTTTTGTTGTTTGTGGTTTCAGCTTGGCTTGGGGGAATCTATATACAAAGGGACAAAAGACTTCTAGTTGTGGCTAAGATTGGAAGCTGAAACTTGATTAAGAGAAAATAATCCATAGTTCCTTTCCAGAAAAGTTTACCTGCCTGTTGGCCTGTATGATACATTCCAAACACACTTATGTATACCCAATTCTTTAATCGTAACACAGTCTTTTATGAAATAGCTTTAGACTACAAAAATATGTATAATATATAATGAACAAACTTTTATCTGCCATATTCCCCTATCTAGGGTCCTTCTGGATAATTCTTAGGAATATATCTTATCCCAAACTTCTCAGGTACCACAGATGTGTGTTTTTACCTCTGGAATGTGAAAGGTAGGAAACAAACCTAAATGCCAATCCATTAAAAAGACACTCCTGTGCTAGTATTATCAGGACTACTAAGAGTAAAAATGGGCTTTCTAACCTTTCATTTAGGAGAAGTTGTGTGTATATAAGTAGGGTCATATCGAGAAAAACTGTAAGAATTGAACAGGGGCAGTATGTAGCAGCATAACTGCTTCTGTTAGGATGACCGAAGCATGATAATATTAGCTAATTCGTGGTGACTGCTTACTCTGAATAGGCACTGTGCTGAATATTTTATTATGTGTATTATTTTATCTAATCTTCCATTGGCCCCTGTATGTGCATTACTGTAAGCACCATTTTACACATGAGGAAATTGAGTCTCAGGAAGGTCAGGGTAACTTGCCAGAGGCCTTTACAGTTAGTGCCTCAAAGAAAGACCAGATTCTTGATAGTTTATGCATATATAATAGTTTATGTAAATTAAAAGTTTAGCTCCCATTTTAATATTTCTTAACTTTTTTATCATTGTTATTATTACTATTTAGAAGTATAATGCTTGAGGTAAAAATATACAATTTGTAGAAGCACATGAAGTCAAAATCCTTCCTAAATCCTGAGGTGTAAAATTTCTCATGTATAATTCCAAAATTTTTCTTTATGTTAAATTTCTTGTGTTTTATTCCAGAGATTTCCTATGCTTATACAAATAAATATGTTTGATTTTATATATGCTCCCATAATTTTAATGTTACTTACTTTCAGTTAAATGAACACTTTGAATTTTTATTTTTCAGTGAAATTTAATTGAGTGTGCCCTTAACAAACCAAAACAAAATAAATTATTTCATAAGCTACTTACAATAGCTTACCTTTCCTTTCCCTTCTTCCTGACTTTGGGTTTACTTTACAGACCATACATGACTTTAAATGTTGTTTTCCTTCTTGGTTTCATTAGTTATGAGAATGGTGTGATTGTGTTTGGTCATTAATATTATTTGACTGCCCATTTAAGTTTTCCAGAGGAATACAAAATGTTGGTCATTTACAAATTCACAATGTTCATAGTTCCCTTTTCTGAAGCAATGGTATACCAAAGGAAATTAATGCTATTCTAGCAAATTAAATGAGGTTTTTATGAAAGCTATGCTGAAAGTGTACTTGAAATTAAAGAATTAAAACTCCTCAGCAGAAGTTGTTGTTTTTTTTTTAAATATTTTTTAGTTGTTGATAGACCTTTATTTTATTTATTTCTATGTGGTGCTGAGAATCGAACCCAATGCCTCACATATGCCAGGCAAGTGCACTACCGCTGAGCCATAGCCCCAGCCTAGAAGTTGTTTTTAATTAATTGCTGACACTACCAAGTTAGAGAAGTTTCTGAACAACTGTGTTAGTCCTTCCACAGTTGACTTTTAATAGTAACAAAGGATAAAAAATGAATCTAATTCATTTTGATTTTATATCATGCTGTATGTTCAAAGGACATCTGTTTGTTCCACCAGATTTTGAATCTTGAGCTATGTGAAATTTGTGTTTTGTTATCCAAGTCGACACTTAGAACTTTTTTCATCCATCTGGTATAATTGTCGCATCAATATGCATTATATAGATATTCGGAAAGAAACATGTAGTTAGTCAAGTTTGATGTTATTTATGTGGATTTAGTTCATGTTCTTTGTATTTGTAGTAGGCCTTTATAAGGATTAGATGGCCTTTTTAGATGCTTGATGGAAAGTAGAACTCATCTTTTATAAGTAATACAATAGTCATTTCTATTTTAATTAAATTTCTTGTTTAATTTTAAGGTGTATGCACCATCCCCAAATTCAGATGATTTCAACCGTGAATCTCCTAGTTATCCGTCTCCTAAGCCACCAACCAGTATGTTTGCTAGCACTTTCTTTATGCAAGGTAAGTACTACCAAGTAGTTGTCACATATAATTGCAGTCATCTGTATATTAGCTCATATTTTAAAGTGTGGGGAAAGACAGTATCTTCATAGGAATTCAGACATTATTTATCTAGGTATTTTTTGGCTGAGATAAATTAAAATTTAGGTTTGTTTTTTTTTTTGATTGTTATTGTGTAGTGCTGTTTATCATTAATTGCAATTCAGATGGATTATTCACCAAATCACTAGAGTACCCATTCAGTATTGTTTGAATTTATAAAAGACTTAAATTGAGAAGAATAAATAAAGGTGCTCTGACTTGGCTTTAGAATTTAAAAGTATGAAAGCTATTAACAACTCTGTTTTGTTGTTTAAAATTACAGGTTCATATCATGCCTAGAATAAATAATATAAATAAAGAGTGAATATCAGAACAGAGTTAAAACTTGTTAAGAAAGAAAATGTGTTGCATTTCCTTCAATGTATGTCTAGCAAATCATTTTTATTTGGTCTCCTGTGGTTTGTGATTATGGGAAGCATATATATGGGAGCAATAAATTATTACATAAGTGGTTCCCTGACTATACTGTGAGTGAAGTCATTACTGACACATTTAATTTGAAGGCTGACTGTAATATGGTCATTATCAATTACTTGGGTCTACTATTAGAGAAACTTCATTGCAGTTTAAAAATGTTAGATACAATGTACATTGCATGTTATGAATTAAGAACATTTTTTGTATATTTATGAGTAAGAGTATGCCATTTAACCAAAAATTAAATCCAGCCTTTCCACCAATTCGGAATATTTGTCTTGTTTGATGTGGATTTACGTCTTCTGAGGATTTATTTAATGACTTATTGTAGTTTAGATAACTTTTTTCTTCACTATTAAACTTATTATATCTTTCTGTTGATTCGTTGGTACTGGGGATTGAACCCAGGGGTGCTGAGCCACATCTTCAACACTGTTTTTTTGTTTTTAATTTTTATAAGCATCATCAAAATAAAAAAATTTAGCTAAGGAAATTTTAATACTTCTCTTTTTATCTTAGATGGGACCCACAATTCTTCTGACCTTTGGAGTTCATCAAATGGGATGAGCCAGCCTGGTTTTGGTGGAATTCTGGGGACCTCCACTTCCCACATGTCTCAGTCCAGTAGTTATGGCAGCCTTCATTCACATGACCGCTTGGTGAGCTATCACACATTACAAGGTTGCAGCAATATCTTGTCCTCATTATGTTTCTTTTGGATTCCAAGTATACAATTTTATTCTGCCAAAACTTCTAAAGTTTGGAATGTTTCTGGACTTATACTATTTACCATGACTTTTCAAAAAGTAAATGACCATAATAACCCTCTTGAACTAACTTATAATGCTCTTTTTGATTGGTTGTAGTAGTTGTTCAGTGTATATGCGTATTATTCAGAAAATAAATTTGACCGATCATGTCTCTTTGCCCCTTTTTCTAGAGTTATCCTCCACACTCAGTTTCACCAACAGACATAAACACAAGTCTTCCACCAATGTCCAGCTTCCATCGTGGCAGCACCAGCAGTTCACCTTATGTTGCTGCCTCACACACCCCTCCCATCAATGGATCAGACAACATTCTAGGTGAGCTTTTGGGATTGGCAAAAATTCCTAAAAATCTTACAGGTGGGTTTTCAGTGAACCCCATATTATCATGTATTTTTAGTATTTAATTTAAAAGTAAAGAATCTTTTCATTTTTGTTAATGTGGAAACTAGTAAGGAATGAATTCATTTTTACTTTAGCGTATTAAGCACATGCAGAGTAATGCCTCCTTGATGGTGGTAAATGTGTGACAACAATAATGCTGAAACAGCATACTTTCCTACTAAAATTCTTAATTTGTTTCTCTTCTCAAAATATCCAGGAACTAGAGGGAATGCTGCTGGAAGCTCACAGACAGGTGACGCACTCGGAAAGGCTTTGGCATCTGTGAGTATTGGCTTTACATATTATACTGAATGGATTCTGTATTGCTAAATGCAGTGATTAGATTTTATGGACAATGAGTATTAAGTGTAGTTATAGCCATCAGCATCATTACTTATTTAGAGCTATTCTGTTTTTATTGACTCATTTCACAAAAAGTACTTTATAAGAATTTTTCCAAGATGGAAAATATTTTTTATATTTTTGGTGTGGGAGGAGCACTAGGGATTGAACCCAGAAACCCTTAACCACTAAGCCACATTATTTTTTGAGACAGGTTTTCACTAAAATGCTAAGGTCCTCACTAAGTTGCTGAGACTGACTTTGAACCTATGATCCTCCTGCCTCAGCTTCCCAAATTACAGGTGTGTGCCACTACACCTGCCTATCTATATTTTTTAAAAGGAAAATAATAATCAGCCATAGCTGAGTGATTCAAAAGTTAGGAAATGAGAGCCTTTTTTAAAAAGCCAGATTTATTGAAGAACTCATACTAAAAGAAGTAAAAATAATAAAACTGATTCAAAGGGATTTTATAGTTTTTTGGCCCATCCCACCCCATTTCACCTCTAGTACTAGTCATGCTAAGCAAGCACTCAATCACAGGGCTACCTCCCAGCCCTGTAGTATTTTCTTGATCAAATACATTTATCAGTTTAGTAAAAAAGCAATAGTTATATTTTAATATCTGACTCTGAAATCGTTAAAATTAAAATTTCTTCTTTTGGAATGATAAAATGAGAAGTGAGAGCATTTATCAGTAATCCATAAAGGTTCTAAAACTAATTATTCAAAAGAGGTATTCTGCTTTATACTTTGTTAAATTTCTCCTTAGGCATTTTTTTCTCTTCTTTTTTTTTCTTTTGAGCAGTATCTTTCTATAACCCACACAATTGTCTTATATTTTCTGTGCAGTGCAATTAACTCTTCAAACATATTTGTTGCTGTTCATGGGGAAGGTAGAGTACTTTAATATATGAGTAGTAGGAAGCAGCTGTTGAACATTTAAAGAGGTAAACCTCTTTGGGTTGTTCCTGTAAATTAGCCTTTATCTATAGCTAAGTTCAAGCTTCTTGAGAAATTAAACAAGTTAAATTTATCTGCTAGATAGTGGAACCCCACTCAAAATGGCTGCAGTAAATATTTCCTGAATTCAATCTTGGATCATTTGTAATAATAGCATGATAATAACAAAACCCACAAAAAATTGTCAGCTATAATTTGATTGTTCTTTAGGTGCCTGCCACTATACTAAGCATTTACATGCTTTGTTTTATTTAATCCTCAAGAAAACCCTGCAAGGTTGGCATTATTATCCCTATGTTACAGCTGAGAAACTAAGGTTTAAAAGGTTAAGTAACTTGAGCCCAGAAAGATTAAGTAGCTTGCTCTAGGGATCACAAAGCTAGTAAGGGTAGACTCATATACATTAGAACCCTGATCTGACTAGGTTGCCTAACTACTGCTGTGTATGTCCAGGAGCAGTAGTGCTACAGTGACTGAGTCTTAGAGAGGTAAGAGTGAATACTATAGAGAATTGTCCCAATTTTTTTTTTGAATTTATTCCCACCAGAAAAATGTATATTATTCTGTAGTATTAAAGATAAGGGTTTCCCAGGTGTTTGATTGGCTTGTTATATTCCAGTAAGATAGTTCACATGTAAGAAGAAGACAAATAACAGGGTTGGGGATTTAGCTCAGCTCAATAGCAGAGTGCTTGCCTAGCATATGCAAGGCCCTGGGTTTGTTCTTGGATCATACCCTGTGGGGATAAAAAGAGGACAAATAAAATTTGAACTTTTAATATTAAGCAAACTTTAAAAATACAATGTACATTTTGACACCCCCCACACCCACAGGGTTTTTGTTTGTTTGGTTTGGGTTTTTTTTTTTTCTTTCTTTCTTCTTTTTTTCCTTTATTTTTATTTGTTTTAGTTAGTTACACTGGTTTTGGTTTTTGAAACAAAAAGTCTATGAAGAAACCTTGCCATAAAATCAGGCAAGAATTTTTGATGTTCTTAGTGGCCCTTCAGTCTCATTTTTAGTTACCCTTCAAGTCCTTGAACATCTTCTTAAAGTGTGAACAACATACTAGCCAAACCAGGGTGGCATTTGAGAAAGAAAATCCAAAGTCTCTGTGTGGAAGCTTGGGAAAAAATGTTTAATCTAGTTAGTGGGTGGGCTTTGGTTGTCATGGAAACTGAGCTCTGTCATCCTGTGTTGTTACTAGGCAGGAGCAGTCAGGTCATTCCATAAATCATTTCTGTCATAGCTGACGGTGATGCATTCCATCTGCTCCATCACTACATGCCATAGTCTACACACTTCATATCCCTTCCTTCAGTCCATCTGCTACCTCCTTCCCCACGTCCAGACCCCTCCCAAATACATTCTTTCTGTAACTTCCTCCACAGACTCACATTCACTTTAATACATGTTTAGTACTCAAAATGTACTGAAAAACAAAAACATTACATTGTCTGGGGATAGAAAGGATTAGAACAGATGAGAAGAGGAACTTAATGAGGATTACATTTGAGAATCTAACATGCACATCAGAATTTTATGTTAAATATTACAGATCTTTGGAAATGGTGACCATGACTATTTTGAAACTTTTCAAGTTCTTTAGAATGTAACATTTTTAGCATGGCACCTAGTTTTAGGGGAAATAACACTGAGCAGTTGCCACTGGAAGTTAATTCTAGTTCTCCAATTGTCTGATGTATGTCTTAGAAGGTCTTTCATGTGTGAAACATCAGAGGGTACAACCTTTGTTCTTCAGTTTAGGTATTAAAGAGCTTGCAGAATACTGTGTGATTAAACATGTAAGGCTAGATAATGCATTTGCAAAGGTTCCTTTATTTTAGGTTTAAGCCTGGATAATTGTGGTCTTAATCTCAGGATAGCAAAAAAGAGAATTGTACATGAAAGTATTTACACAAAGTTCCCAAAGCCCTGTGGATTATGCATTAGTTTAGATAATAAACTAGGGTAGATAGAAGGGAAGGAAAATCTGTGTATTCGTGCCATTTCTAATGTGTTTCCCTGAACGTTTGCCAGACAATAACCCTTTAAGATTGTGCCCATGGAGAGTTATATAGAGCAAGAAACATCTGGTTTATTTCAGTGCCTAATACCATATCAAAACACTTGGTCTTTAATTTAGAGGAGATCAAACAAGAGGACTGTTTAACTTTGTTGATTATATCAGACTTCTTTGTGATAATTTATGTTTTGATTTCTACCTCAGAGCAAGAGAGGGGGAAAGTGTGTGTGGTGTGTGTGAGTGTGTGTGTGTGTATGTGTGTATGTGTTTTAATCTGGATAGTTAAATGGTCAGTAGTCTCTAACAAAAGAAAAGAAAATTCCTGGAAGTTGACGTTTAAAAGTAATTCATGAAATAAGTTTCTTTGTTCCTTAGACTCAATAACATTAGCATAATAAAGATTAACTGAAATGTGCACTGTAGTGTTTAAAAAATTGGGCTCACAATTTCAGGGTTGGGCCTGGGCGCTCTCCATTGTTTCCTTTTTGTCCAAGGCCCTTTTCATTAGCTCCTGGCTTATTGGCACCCTGCTGATTGGAATGGACCATGACTGATAGGAGGAGGAGCCTCATTTGTTGCAGTAAAATGAGGCATATTACCGTTTAAGCCTGGCAGAAGGTATTGAGAGTTATTCATCATTGGTCACTTAACAGTATGAGGACCATGGACTGCATGCAGAATGAGTTCTTACTTTTGTGTTTATGCTGGAGACTCTAAATCACTCCCTCTCTCATTTTGATGTTACTGACTTTTTCTTCTTTTTTCTCTTCAAACACCAATGTTAGAGTCCTGTAAGGTCAGAAAATACGAAACAAAATATATTCTTAATTTAGGATGCACTTGCCAAATAAAGCCTTGTGTTTAGAATTTCTGAAAGTAGCACAACAATTTTTATAGAATAAGTATAATTTGTTTATATTTGGTAATACAGTAAACCTGCACAGATAGTTTAGTGAGAATATACGTGATCCAAATGTTGTGTTATACCTTTTTAAGGTTTTTATTGCTCCTCTTCTCCCCGCATATTCTTTTAAAAGTAAAAAAGATAGGAAAAATCCTCCAACTTGCCAGCCTTTTTCCTATCTATAAGTTCAGGAAAAATCAACAATAGTTCTCTCTTATCACTTTAATTGGTGAAGTAGAACAAGCAAATGGGACAGGTGAAGGCAAATGGCTTTTATTATATAAATGGAGAAGCTGCTGTGGGGAAGAAATACCAGAAGGGATATGTTTTCATACTTGATACATTTTTGTTACCACTTCTCCTGTTTATACAGTGAATTTTTTAAAGCTCCTATTTATACAGTGATTTTTAAACCTCTTTTACATATAAGATCAGCACATTTTGCTAAATCACTTTAAGGTAATGATCTTACATGACTTTACGCTACAATCTCTGCCTTCTCTGATATAATAGGAGGTGCAGCTAATTCTTGACATGCGTGGGCATCTTGACATGTAAGGGCAGAGTTCTCAGGGAAAATAAGTGTTGATAGTCCATTTATACCCTGAGCAGCCCCTACCTATCTAATAATGTGATATGGACAGTTTATTATTTTAGCACTAATTTCCAGACGTAGTGGAACCCTCACCACCACCTCACCATTAAAATTGTTACCATAAAACTGATTTGAGAGTTAGGGATACAGTTCAGTGGTGGAATACTTGCCTACTGGGTTCAAGACCCCAGCACAAAAAAAAAAAAAAAAAACAAACAAAACCTGATTCAAAATAAAGTCATCTATATAACAAAGCTCTTTTTCTTCATTTGGTATTTCTGTCACTGCTCCCCATTAAATAAATACTAAGACAAATGCTAGCATTTAAGGAGTCCTGCTTTTCATCAGTAAGTGTTATAGCAAATTTCATGTGCAATTTTATCATTCAGATTTTTTAAAAAACATTGAGAGCCTACTTACACAAGACACCGGCAGGCAGTGATTGATTCAGTGTTGAACTTTATAAGATCTCTGCCTCTGAGATAATAAAGGAGGTAAAAATGACATGGAAATGGGGAAGTGACATTTGAGCTAAGCTTTGAGGTAGTGTGGAATTCCACCAAGGAGAAGTTAAGAAATAGACTTTCTGAAAGTAGAACAAGCTATGTTCAGAAAATGAAAAACAATATTTTGTTTGGATAATAGAGTATGTAAGTTTATAAGTAGATTATGGAGTAGAAAGATATTTTTGTGACCAGATTATGACATCAAATGTTATTTTGTACGCAACAGGAAGCATGGGATTTGGTAGTTCAAAACTGTGTTCCAGGGCTGGGGCTGTAGCTCCTCAGTAGTACACTTGCCTGGCATGTGTGAGGCACTGGATTCGATTCTCAGCACCACATAAATAAATAAATGCCTATCAACAACTTAAAAATATTTAAAAAAAGAAACTATGTTCAAGGACAATAGCTCAATTATATATGGGATAAAAAGAGGAGTTACTAGAAAAATAAAGACATCCCACTTGAGGGCTAAAAACCAACAAGTCAGGCTACATGGAACTAAAACTTTTCTCCCTCTTCATCTACCCACATCAGTGTTATCAGCTCTTCCCTCCCTTGCCAATATTACACTCAGGATGTTTCATAAACCATTATTGCTAATTAAAGGTATAATTATGTGAATTGTTTGTTTATTTGTTTTACTGGGGATTGAACCCAGGGGTACTTAACCACTGAGCCACATCTCCAGCCCTTTTTATATTTTATTGAAAGACAGGGTCTTGCAAAGTTGCTGAGGCTGGCTTTGAACTCATGATCTTCCTGCCTCAGCCTCCTGAGCCACTGGGATTGTAGGCATGCGCCGACATACCCAGCTAATTATGTGAATTTTAAGACATATTTTTGTTGGCATGTGTGACCTTACCTAATTTACTACGTGGTTGAAATAAATTAGTTTATATATGTGGAGCCACTAGGAACCAAAATGTGGCTGGTAGCTAATTTTCATGTATGTCCTGTAAATTTTTTGCAAAGTAACAATTTTAAATAACAGCTTTTTTTCTGGTGATGCTGAGAATGGAACCACTCAGCCCTAATAACGTTAAGACCAACAATATTGACCTTATACTAATTCCCTAAAGCCTCCAAAAGCTTCTTGAATTCTTTTTCATAGTTTTGCTTTTCCAAAATGGCTTTTTAACTTGAGTGTACAACTTCCTGATCTGGCTATATGAGAGACTTGTTTAAAGACATTTTTTTTTATTCTAATTTGTTATATATGACAGCATACTACATTACAATTCATATTACACATATAGAGCACATTTTTTAATATCTCTGGTGGTATACAGAGTATATTCACACCATTCTTGTCTTCATACATGTACTTAGGAAAATGATGTCCATCTCATTCCACCATCTTTTTTACACCCTTTGCCCTCTCCTTTCCCCTCTATGAGACCCTCCCTGCCTTTGCCTACTCCTTAAGACTAAGCCTCACCCTTAGAAAACTTGGAATGGAACCACCATTTGACCCAGTTTGTCTCATCTTCCCGTGCTCCCTCTCCCAACCCCACTATGAATCAGCCTCCTTATATCAGAGAAAACATTTGGCATTTGGTTTTTAGGGATTGGCTAACTTCACTTAGCATTTTCTTCTCTAACTCTGTCCATTTACCTGCAAATGTCATGATTTTATTCTCTTTTGTTACTGAGTAATATTCCATTGTGTATATATGCCACATTTTTCTTATCCATTCATCTACTGACAGGCATCTAGGTTGGTTCCACAGTTTAGCTATTGTGAATTGTGCTGCAATAAACATTGATGTGTCTGTGTCCCTGTTTAAAGTGTTAAGTGCTGAGGTGCAAAAATGTTTTATTATGCATTTTGTAAGAATAATATTGTCCAGCATCACAAAAGGGATACTAAGAACTTTATGAGAAGAAGCTGAAAGTCTGGGTTTCCTGGGGTCCTAACATAGATAGAGATAAAGGACACCTGAGAACAGGCTTTGTAGTTTCCAGGTCTTGTTGTGAAGCTTAGTCTTTTTTTTTTAAATTAATTTCTTTATTTTAATTAGGTATATATGACAACAGAATGCATTTCAATTCATTGTACACAGTTGCAGCACAACTTTACATTTCTATGGTTGTACATGATGTAGTGTCACACCATATGTGCAGTCATACGTGTACCTAGGGCAGTGATGTCTATCTCATTCCACCATCTTTCCTGCCTCCACATTTCCTCCCTCCCCCACCCTCTCCTTTGCACAAAGTTTCTCCATTTTTCCCATGCCTCCCCCATCCTCGTTATGGATCAGCATCCACTTATCAGAGAGAACAGTTGGCCTTTGGTTTTTTGGGATTGGCTTACTTCACTTAGCATGATATTCTCCAACTTTATCTATTTACCTGCAAATGTCATGATTTTATTCTCTTTTAATGCTGAGTGATATTCCATTGTGTATATATACACCACATTTTCTTTATCCATTCATCTATTGAAGGACATCTAGGTTGCTTTCACAGTTTAGCTATTGTGAACTGAGCTGCTTGAACATTGATGTAGTTATGTTACTATAGTATGCTGTTTTTAAGTCCTTTGGGTATAGACCGAGGAGTGGTATAGCTAGGTCAAATGGTGGTTCCATTCCAAGTTTTCAAAGGGTGAGGCTTAGTCTTAAGGAGTAGGCAAGGGCAGGGAGAGTCTTTCAATGGTCCCCATTTTCACTTTTACCGATGGGAATCTAAAAACTGGAATTAGGGGAGTTCTATCCCAGCACTTATCCTTCTAGGCCTCAAGTTTCATTGTAACAATGATGGAGCTAGAGAAATTCTCACAGCTCCTTCCAGCTTACACCACCCTACAATTTTGAGTTAGTGTTTTAAATAGTGCCATAACTTTTTTTTGGCATTGACTTTTGATTCTCAGAACATTCACTTTTTGCAACTTCCTGGCTTTGGTCAAAAACACCTTTTACTCCTTGACTTCTTCCCATCACAAAACTAAGTAAATACACTACAAATCATCTACACCATATTCCTCTAAATAATGAGGGGAAATAAGGAAAGGTGCTTACATTTCCCTGGACTTAGAAAGCTATGGAAAAACCTACACTGGTGCTGGGGAATGAAATAGACAAAAATTATATTATTATGTTGTATGCATGTACAACTATGTAGCAATGAATCCCATTATTATGTCTGATTATAATGTATCAATAAGACTTTTTTTAAATAATGATAAGAGGAATATTTCCCAGGAGGGACCTCTTAGGGGCCCTTGAATGAATTAAAGGGACTTTTTTAGGACTACAGGGGATTGAACCCATGGGTACTCTAACACTGAGCTATATCCCCAGCCCTTTTTATTTTAGTTCTATTATTTGGAGACAGTATCTCACTAAATTGCTGGGCTGAAACTTGGAATCTTCTTGCCACAGTCTCTATAGTCTCCAGATACAGGTGTACACCACGACCCACCTGGCTAAAATGATTCTTAATATATTTACTTGTTAATTAGGTGAACTTGAACGACTCTCCTACACTATTTTTGGCAATATGAAAAGTATATAAAGTATAACAACAACATTTTTAGCCAGAATACCAAAATTTATGCATTCAGGTATATTCTCTTCAAGTAGATCTGTAGGGAAGTCAAGTTCAAAAATCATTTGGGGAACACATTTTTGATCCAGTGGGTATTTTTTTTTTAACTTTCTCCAAGGGTGGCATAGTATACTTTGGAAGTAAGTTTAATTTTTTTTAACATTTGGAGCTAAAATTGGCATAAATATGGTTGATCAAATTAGTACTTTTTAAAGGAGAGGTAAGGAGTAATTAAGAAATATTTTTCTTTGGTTGGTTTTTTTAAACTTTTTAAAAAACATTTCTTTCTTTTTTTTTCCTATCATTTTCTCTCTAATGTGTGTATGTGTTGCTGAGGATTGAACCCAGCACCTTGCACATACTAGGCAGGCAAGCACTTAAAGATCATTTCAAAAAATGAGTTAATTCATTTAGATAGTATATTCTAACAGAAATTTTTAACTGTTTCCAACTAGAATAATAAAGAAGCATATCTATTCTATTCTTATCATATTAGAATATATATGATTTTTTTATCTAAGTTTTAAAATGGAGGCTACTGTGCTCTTCATGTAACAAAAAAGTCTTAAAGAGTGATGGAAAACCTTTTCACTATAAGTATTAGGGGGTAACACCTTAGATTGGAAAAATAAATTTATGTAAATAGATTTATATATTTGCTATTGTGAAATATTGATGTATGTGTATCTCTTGTTTTCTGCTTAGATTTATTCTCCTGATCATACCAGCAGTAGTTTTCCATCAAACCCATCAACACCGGTTGGATCACCTTCACCTCTTACAGGTAGGCTTTTCTTTTATCTACTTCATAACATGGTTTAGGTTTACTTGGAAATATTTTACAGGCACTTTTTAGTAACATTTATTTAAAAATTCACCTAAATTTTGGCCAGGCGCAGTGGCGCATGCGTGTAATCCCAGCAGCTCTAGAAGCTGAGGCAAGAGGATTGCAGGTTCAAAGCCAGTCTCAGCAGAAGCAAGGGACTAAGCAACTCAGTGAGACCCTGTCTCTAAATAAAATACAAAATAGAGCTGGGGATTTGGCTCAGTGGTCGAGCGAGTGCCCCTGAGTTCAATCCCTGATCTGCCCCCCACCTCCAAAATCATCTAAATTTTGACTATAAGAAAGCATCTAAGGGGGCTGGAGTTGTGGCCCAGTGGTAGACCGCTTGCCTGGGTTCAATCCTCAGGACCACATAAAAATAAATAAATAAAATAAAGGTGTTAAAAAAAACCATTTTAAAAAGAAAAGAAAACATCTAAACATGGGCTTACTCAGTGATAGAGTATTTGCCTGTCATGTGCAAAGCCCTGGATTTGATCCCTAGTATGACAGGGAAAGGGGGACATCTAATAGAAGCTTCCTCTGGAGTTCACTTTGGAGAATATTGAAATATTTGTTAGTTTTGAATTATTTATGAATATCTTTTGAGATTTTTAATATAATTTGTTGATAATTTCTAATAATTGTTGTGGTACTAGAATAAAAATTAAGGTGGGAAATTGGGGTGAAGGTAAAATACAAAAGAACTACACCAAAAATTTTTATGAGATAGTGTAGACAATTTTAAAAATAACCTATTTAGAAGTACAAAGGCTAAGAATGTAGCTTAATGATGGAATGTGTGCTTAAGGTTCATGAGGCCCTGGGTTCTATCCCTAGTATCACCAAAAACAATTAAATAAAAGCACATTGTGACCTCTTTTTTCATTGTTCTCCACATTTACCATGTACCATGTGTAAGACTCATTCATAGATGAATAACTTTATGTAGGTATTTTGTCTTTATTTTTGGGTTCACTAAGTTATTATTTCACATGTATACATACATACATATATACACACATATAAAAATGAATTCCTGGGGATGATTCCGTTTTTCTACTAAAGAAAAGAACTCAGTGAATGTGGCTCAATATTGTTAGTGGTTCAAATTTGCTTTATTTCCTCCTGACTTTTTCACATTAATTTTGAAAAGTTCTAGATATTATCCTGTGGTATCAGTTTATTGAGACACAGTTGTAAATGGGAATTTTTTTTACTTACTAGGAATAAATAAATAAAAGTACATGAAAATGTTAAGTATCTGTTAAGCTGTAATGTAAAAACCTGGCCTGGGGCTGGGGATGTGGCTCAAGTGGTAGCATGTTCGACTGGCGTGCGCTGGGCGCTGGGTTCGATCCTCAACACCACATAAAAATAAAATAAAGATATTGTGTCCACCTAAAACTAACTAACTAAATAAATATTTAAAAAAAAAAAAAAACTGGCCTGTATTTTTCTAAAGAGTGTTTGGCAAAAATCTTTGCTAAAGAAAATATACTTTAGTTTATTTTGAAGAAAAAACATTATTAGGCAACTGGATAAGATTGCCATATTCCTCCAACAACAGCTGACCTCAGAAATGACTGTTTAGGAAAACAGAATCCAGCCATTAGTTAAGTCCAAGTGGTTTTGTTTTTTCTATGTTGCTGTTAAGCCTTTTTACATTGTGCAGTGTTTCTGGAAATCCGGACCTTTGCTATCACCTGTGCTTTGTGTATTTGCCTTGTGGTTCTGCTTAGAAGCATTCCAGTGTGGAGATGATGAACTGCTGGCAGCTGCTCCCAGCTATTAGCAGGTTCTGCTACTTTCTCAGACACTGTGGCTTCAGCTGTCTAGTAAAAGTTGAACAGCTGTTCCCCACATAGACAAGACTATGAAAGACCCGTTGACTTGAAGTTGTTGTTTAACAGAGCTGAAATTACAGGAAGAATGATGTAACTTTAGCCCTGCTCACCCTCTTGGCACACTTTTGCTAAAATTATCAGTGTCATGTTTACCATAACCTATTTCACTTTCCCATCTGAGACATCTGTGTCTGCCCTCACTGTACATTCCCACTGCCTCTCCTTTACCTAATAAGACAGTTACCAAAGTATCTTTTAGTTTTAATTAGCACTGGAGAGAAAGGCCATAGTGGAGCTCAGCAACTGTGAAGGGACATCAGTGAAATGGAGAATCAGAAGCTTCAACTCTTTCTTTGTTTTTGTTTGTTTGTTTTTGTACCAGGGATTGAACCCAGGGACACTTAACCACTGAGGCACATCCCTAACCTTTTTATTTTTTATTTTGAGACAGGGCCTCAGTAAGTTGCATAGGACCTCCCTAAGTTGCTGAGGCTGACTTCAGCCTCTTGAGTGGCTGGAATTGCAAGCATATGCCACCACACCCAGCAACTTCAACATTTTTCCAAAGGGGGAAAAAATGGGTCTCAAGTAAAAATCACATTTCTCATCCATCTTTATTTGATGTTTATTGGATGATATTCTTTTTTTCCCCTATAATTCAGTTGAGTAATGAAAATGTAGACTGTTGAATTATAATCAAAGGTAAAAAGAGAAGGAGCAAAGCAGTGCTTCTATTTAATATAAGGAAAATTATTTTTGTATTTTGTGTGACAATGACCTGTTATTTAAAGTAAAATACTTTATGTGCTCTCTACACTTTCCCTATACTTTATGCCTGAAAGTTAGTCATATGCACATTCTCACAGAGAGAGCTTCTATTCAATATATGGAATTTATTTTGGGTCTTGTGTGGCAATGACCTCTTATCTAAAATAAAAACTCTACCCACTATGTGCTCTCTACACATGCCCTATTCTTTATGACTGAGCATTAGTCATATGCACACTCACACATAGGCAACTTCTAAGGCAGTCAGTCATTCTTAAATCTCCTTTGTTTTCCTCTAGAATTTTTATAAGCCATTTCTACATAGAGAGTGCTTTTGAGAAAGCATCTGAGATATTGTATCACTTAGAATGCTTTAAGATGAAAGAAAAAGAAGTTCTTTTCTCAGCTAGCTTGAACAATAAGAATTTTATTATCTCATGTGGCAAGAAGCCCATAGCAGGCAAGGTCCTGGCCTTGTATGTCAGACTTGCTCTGCTTCTTAGCATTTCTCTCTCAGGTTTAATGTAAGACAGCAAATCAGGGTACTGTAGACAAACATAACAGGATCCAATAGAAGAAAAGGAGCTGTCTCTTCCTTGTCCTTAAGAAACCCTGTCCAGAAGCCTCTTGAGGAGGTTCCCCCTCCTGTCTCATGGGCTAGCACTGGGCCTAACATAGTTACTTGCAACAGAAATGGAACTACCATGTTCATATTAGGTTATCAGGATTTAGCCCCAAAGCTAGGAATAAAATTATTCTCTCCTTGGTTTATACTAAAAAAGGAAAGGCCCACCTTCCTACTCCTTTGTGAACAAAATCAGACCTCTGGGTGCAAGGTAGAAGAGAGGAATGGTTGTGTCTACTCTTGACATACTTGGTGTTGAATGAGTTGCGTGACTTGTTTTCAGTCTAGTTGAGAAAATGAAAAAGAGCCACAGAGTTCACTCTAACTGCATGGTCGGGATAGGTTTCATGAGGAAGAGTAGGATTTTAAAAGGAGAAGAAGGACTGTTTCTAGCTTAAAGGAAAGAGCTCAACAAAGGATCTAGATGTGAGAAAGTGTATGAACTATTTATGCAGAGTCATCAGGTAAGGCATTGAGAGGGAAAAGCTGGCTGGGGCCAGGTTGTGGAAAGCAGAGCACTGGATGCTACCTCAAAGGATAGCATTATTCAGTCTTTTCTAAGAATGGGAGAATCTTACTGAAGTTTGAGTTTAGGGTAAAATTACAAAGAGAAACAACCAACAAAAAAAGAAAAAAGTATGAGAAGTGGTCATATGAATTCTCTCAACCACACAAAATGTTGATTTCTATTCCCTAAGTTTATTAAATAATTGTAGTAGGTGAAATACTTACTATGTCCTACTTGAAGCAAGAGCAGATCAGAAATAGTGCTTTTTAGATTTATTGATCAGAGTCTTTCCACATTTTCAGCCAAATAATTCAGCTATTTTATCCTATTTACCCAGCTAGCTTCTTTTCTGTAAATGTTTTGATAAACTTTAATATCAAGTAGATTTATTATAATCTTTCTAGAATAAGAGCTAGCTTTTTTAAAGTGGTAGACAGTAAAAAGCCCAAGCAATTACAGAAATTGTTGCCTACATAGAATAGTTCTCACCTAATGAAGGAAGCAGAACCCCAACCCTTACTTCCTGACACCAGGTGAGAAGGAAGGGAGGCAGTACACTTTCTGAGTCAACCCTGAGAATTCCAGCCTTCACACTTTTCTTTTTCCATATTCTTGTATTAACGCTACAGTTGATGATTGCAATCTAGAGACAGCAGTGTGATTCTAACTTTAATCTGAATGTTTTATTAACACACAAACGAAGCTGTAGTGTCAAATGCATGTTTAGCATTATGATCTGTGTCCAGAATACTTTTTTTTTTTTTTCATTTAATGCATGGTAAAGCTACCATCAGAGTTGACAGAAGTATCTCATTAATAGAAAGACCTTTAGGCTTATGAAGTACTTTCATGTCTTTTTTTTTAACATATATTTTTTTAGTTGTAGATGGACACAATATCTTTATTTGTTTATTTTGATGTGGTGCTGAGGATCAAACCCAGTGCCTCACACATGCGAGGCAAGCGCTCTGACACTGAGCTACATCCCCGGCCCTCATATCTCTTAATATCAGCTTTGTGAGGCAGATTAAAAACAAACCCAAAAATCTGTGTGTTCCTATTTTGTAACTCAGAGTTCACAAGATTACTTGATACTACATATCAACCAGATTACAGGTCAACTAACTCCCAATATCCACTAAACTTCTGTTCTCCCTTTCTTTGAGTTTTACCAACCATGGTATTGACTTCTACTGAGCTAATTCTAAGCATCCAATCATCCCAATTGCCTGAAATTTTGAAATAACAAAGTGGAGTTACAGGAGCTCTGTCCATGAAATAAATTTAGCTTGGGATTTATATGAAGTTCAAATAGATATCTGCTGCCCCTCAGTACTAGGGATTGAGTCCAGGGCCTTATGCATCCTGTGTGAGCCCTCTACCCGTGAGCTACATCCTCCCCACCACCACCACATTTTTTCATTTGTTTAGTTTGGTTTTGTTTTTTGTGTGACAAGGTTTCCGTAAACTAAGTTATCCTATCTGGCTGGCCTCAAACTTGCGATCTCCTGCCTTAGACTTCAAGTAGCTAGGATCACAGGCATGTGCCACCACGTCCAGATCAAACATATGTCACTAATTCAACACTGTTAGTTGTTTATTAAGTGTATAATAAAGGGCAATCTAATCTATAATAATAGAAAAATAGATTTAAGTATGTGTGTATTTTTTCTAATTGAATGAATTGTATAGTTTTTTCATAGCACCATCAAAAATGTATGAAGTTGGGCTGGGGATGTGGCTCAAGCGGTAGCGCACTTGCCTAGCATGGTGGGGCGCTGGGTTTGATCCTCAGCACCACATAAAAATAAAATAAAGATGTTGTGTCCACTAAAAACTAAAATATTAAAAAATTCTCTCTATATATAAAAAAAAAATGTATGAAGCTAAGGCTGGGGTAGAGCTCAGTGGTGAAACACTTGGCTAACATGTAGGAGGTCCTGGGTTTGATCTTTAACGCCACAAAAGATAGGGGCAGTGATGAATGTTGATTATTTCTTATCTAAGTTAGTGTAAATATCTGATTTCTTAACACTAAACTAATGAAGAACCACAAAAACTGCCTGTTTTACAGAGCATCTATATGCATACTAATGATTCTGAGGTGCTTAAATATAATAAAACTTGTTGATATTTCCTACAAATTAAGTAATTTGATGGTCCAGCTCCTGCCTGTCAACTTCCTTGATCACCCAAGGGGATTGAGAGAATAGTGGAGCAAAATAATTAAAAAGTAAAATATTATGAACGTTGAAGTTTTCTTTTCAGTAATTTAGGGGCTTCATAAATAGATTATCCTAGCCACCTAAAATTCATAATTCTGCATCAGTTTTTGGTAAATCCTAATATACTGAAATTGTGATAAAATATTATAAAATAAGCCCACAAGTTTATTTCAGTGATCATCCATAATTTTTTTTTTGGGGGGGGGGGGTGGGGTTGGTACTAGGGATTGAACTCAGAGACACTCAGCCTCTGAGCCACATCCCCAGCCCTGTTTTGTATTTTAAAGACATGGTCTCACTGAGATGCTTAGTGCCTCATCACTGCTGAGGCTGGCTTTGAGCTTACAATCCTCCTGCCTCAGCCTCCCAAGCCACTGTGATTACAGGCGTGTGCCACCCGGTCCAGGCTATTATCCATAATTTGTATAGTTGGTTACATTTGTTTGTCTTGTATGAAGCCTTTTATGGTCCTCAAAAATAATTTGTTTATAAGTTTAAAAAAAAAGTCAAAGGACATAATGATATATCTTTTTTCCCTACGGTTTTAGTATTGTTGTATGATCATAACATATGTGTTATAATTAATTGTAAAATCTAATCAGATTATTAAGAATCTTTGTATTCCACTTTTCAAATTGCAAAATTTGTGAGATTGATGGGAATGCAGTTATTGGTTATTGAGTAAGTAAAGATGCTGTTCAGCTAAAATTAATGTGATAGTTTTAGTTTACTTTTTTTCTAAAATAGCAAATAAGTTGTGGTGTTTATCCTTAGCTTCATAAATATGGAAAATGGACCTGCAACAACAGACTCTTTGGATCACAATTTAAACGTCACTTAGCAATACACAAGGCAAATTAAATAAACCTTTTAACCTCCAATTTTAGATTTCTAATGCAATTCAGGTTGTCACTGAAGCATGTAAAAAGAAGAATAATGCACATTTAATTGAATAGTCTTTATTATTTTCGGTAAATAACTTATTTTCAAGTGAACAACCATTAAATAGTGAAGACTTTTGATCAATTGTTTTGTCTTTTTTCTTCTTAAAGCTATTTTGGCAAGACTATTAAAATATTGCATTCTGCTCAGTATATGGATGAATTTTTAATTTTATTTTTCTTATGGCATTTTCCTTTTCTTTTTGATGCTAGGGATCAAACCCAGGGCCTTGTGCATGTGAGGCAAAGTGTTTCATTTTTTATGAACTTAAACCCTTTCTTTTTCTATATTGTTTTTTATTGTATTTTTACTTTCCTAACATTGAAGAATTAGCAATATTTTTTAAAGTTTTTATATAATGGTATTTTCCAAATTAAATAATGTATTTTGGTGTAGACTATGTTGGGAAATTTTTAAACAGATAATCCCAAATGCAGTTGCAGTTATTTGAAATTTGTTCATCCATGCATTGCTAAAGGCACTATCAGTTAATATTTCACTTTGTAAAGCAAATTTGACCTTTTTAATTAAAGATCATAAATATGTGCATACCCTTTAATTCGGAAATGCTACTTATCTTGAAAACATCTCTCTTCCCTATCCTGAACTAGGAATAAAAACAGTAATATATAAAGTATAATTTTTTCTAGCTCCTTACATTGTTGTAATTATAATGAAAGATTTTTTTTTTTTTTTAATTGGGGCATATGAGTAGCCAATACTGTACTGAAAGTTGAAAAAAAAAATTCATGTGAATTTACTTACATTTATGGAGTGTCCTTACTCTATCCTTTAAAACATTATCGAGATAGCTGAGTGAACCCACACTTTTGGGTGCTTTTGGATTTTAACAGGTACCAGTCAGTGGCCCAGACCTGGAGGGCAAGCTCCTTCATCCCCAAGCTACGAAAACTCACTCCACTCCCTGGTAAGAGCCTCTTACAAGTCATTACAGGTCTTACAGGATTTTAGCTATAGTTTGGAAGGGTTTTTGGTTTTGTTTGTTTTAATAAATCTTGTGTAACAATGAAGAAACAGTAGGATAGCATTACACACGAATTCTTTGCTAACAAATGGCCTGATTTAGTTGAACAATATGACACATTGGGTGTGCCTTTACCATCTGTTCTTTGGGACATCAGGCTTCTGGTGTCAGGACAGCTGGTGTTAAGATAGTATTGTAAAATTTTTATTTCTTTGACAAATCTAGGGCTTCATTTTTCTATGCTTTTATGTTTCCACATCAGAGGAAACTTTGAAAAAAGAGAAGTAAAAGTAAGAAAATGAAATCCAGCAATGCAAAATCGTGTAATGCTGTGTATACATTATGTTTATGTTAGTTTTTTTAAGTGAATGTCAATTATTTTTGTCATGAAATATTATTTCTCATATTGTAACAAAGATTGTATTGTGCAAATCATACAAGCAAAACACTGTTTACTCATCAAAAAAAAAAAAAACAAAAATAGGAACCTTCTAATTAACTAAGGGTGAAGAATTTGTGGTAGAATGTTAACCGCTGTTGCTTTTGTATGCTTACGTTTATAACCCAGAATTACAAAGTATAATAAAAACAAAAGAAGGATGATCTGATCAATGCTAAATCATGCTATCATTCAATAATTTCAGCTTGCAAATAGAAGTGTTCTTTTTCTGTGACTAACCAGAACAGTTTAAATTGAGGGAAAGTTTTCTTCTCACATATTTTGCAAGCAAATAGAAGCAACATGTGCTGTTTAGATGCTAACCTTGTAACTTCCCTGTTAAATTCCAGCCTTCTCATACTTTAATACAAGTAGATCTCTCAGGCTCCATATTAACTTTACTAACATGTTATGCCAACATGCACATCAGCTATTTCCTCATCTCTTTTGGAGTTAATCTTAACCTGTGCTTTGCCTCCTGTTCTGTCTTGACTTTGCCAGAAAAATCGAGTTGAGCAGCAACTTCACGAACATTTGCAAGATGCAATGTCCTTCTTAAAGGATGTCTGTGAGGTACTATTTCTTTTGGATGGTGCCTTTTTTTTGTGTTTCAATTACTTATACTTCCCATTATTCATTTAAAATCATCAAGCTGTACAGACTCCAAAGTCTTTTAAAATCAAACAATTGACCATTTCAGCTTTTGTAGTAGTATATACAAATAGATTTTGTCTTATATTGTTGAGTTATTCTTCTAAAAAGAGCTCTACTGGCATGTGCTTTTGATTTTTAAAATTCTAATATGTTTGTGTATGGGACACGTGTGTATCCACAGACAATGTCATTTCTTCAGTTTTGTTAAGAGCATATCTTAGATCTGTTCACCATTTAAGATAGGTATGCTTTATTCATCTAAAACAAAATGATAGCCTAAATTTGATGGATTTTCCCAGTTGACATCTTTCAAAGATCATTATTAAGGTGCAGTTTATCCTTTTTTATCAACTAAAATTATATATTGATGTAATACCCTTTTGTAGAAGCTAAAAGAAGTACACCTTGTAATAGATTGGTAAATTGATCCTATAAAACAGTGATTATTTCTGAAGCTTCAAAAATTTAGCATAGCCTGCAGTCAGCCTTTCTTTTGTTGTTTATAGTGCAGGTAGTTGGTTTTGAAACTACTTGATAGTGCATTTCACTTGCTGTCTTTCATATATCCCAAAGTAGGAAATACAGCAGTTTAATAAATTTAACAGATACCAGCAGTAAGCTCCATATTGTTGGTTTTTTTGTTTTTTGTTTTCTTTTTTTTTTTTTTTTTTTTTATTTAATTCTTATAGCAGTCTCGAATGGAGGATCGTTTAGACAGACTGGATGATGCTATTCATGTGCTGCGGAACCATGCTGTGGGACCTTCCACCAGTTTGCCTGCTGGTCACAGTGATATACACAGTTTATTGGGACCATCCCATAATGCACCAATTGGAAGCCTCAATTCAAACTATGGAGGATCAAGCCTTGTTACCAACAATCGATCCACTTCAATGGTAAAATAGTACTTGCCTTATTTGTAATTATCCCTGAAGCTTATTATCCTAAATGTTTTTAACAATATCTTTGAGGAAGAGGATTGAAGATAAAGAGAGGCTCTTAAGAAATTTCCTTACTGTTTTGGGCAGGGTCATTGGCTGAGTAATCCTGCTATGATCACATACAAAAAAAACCTTTTTCCTAGAGATCATTTTAGCTTAAATCTGGACTTTTTTCCAGACGTGTAATAATTTGGGCCATTGTATGTTGAAATAGTGAGTAGGAAGTCTGAATATCAAAACAGTGAAGCAAGACTGGATTCAAGGATTTTCATCTAGAAAAATTGTTACTATTATAATTTGGAACCTGCCTTCAATGGCCAAAAACATGTGAAATTCCAATTTATATAGGTTTGAATTTAAACTTTACTCCCAGATGAAGAAAAAAATGAGACAGGGAACAGCTGTTATTTAAGTAACAAAGAAAGGAAATAGTTTTAGATTAATCCCCAAAGAGAATAAACTAGCTCAATCCATCTTTGAAAAAACATGGCAATTCTTTGGGGGGCAGGGAATAAACCTCTGCAGCCATACACATCAAAAACTCTATTACATTATTTTCTATCCAGATTGTCTTTTAAAGGAATGAAGTTCTTTTTGAACCTGATATTTAACTGATACCACGTGTTTGGATGTTTATAGCATGGGTTTTAAGGTTCACTGCATGCTGTGAAAAAGTCTCCTATGAAACAGATTTTTAGCTGTAAGCCATGTGATCAAGGCTAAAATGCACCTATCATCAGAATAATTAGGTGCCCTAAATGCTAAAGGCTTGTGTTCTATAAAACGGGATTGCTTCCAGATTTCCACATTCACATGTCAGACAAGCCATTTATATTAATTTTGGAGCCTCCGAAGTAAACATCAAACAAGGCTGCCTGGTATCTGAGGACAGTGTTTTCCACAATGTGGGTGACATTGGATGCTTGCATATCTTAGCAACTAGGTTTTTGTTTTTTGTTTTTTAATATTAGGAAATCTTAAAATTTAAGCTCCTTTTAAATTAGTTTTTACTGATAAGCTAATAAATGTGAAAACATTTATGAATAATTAAACTTACGAGAGGGTAATGTTAGTAATAGTAGTAGTAAAATAACTTAAATGGTGCAGTAAGACTAACAGGAGAGTGTTTTGCAAATATGAATGTAGAACATCAAATTAATTATTAGCAATTTGCTGAGATGCTATTTAATCTTATTTAGTAGAGTTACTGGAAATTAGCATACTTGAAGTCCAAATTGGTCTTAGCATTTACAGTTCTTAATTTCTTACCTCTTTTTGTGTGGGTGTCCTAGGGATTTAACTCAGGGGCACTTTACCACTGAGCCAAATCCCCATCCTTTTAATTTTTTTGTTTTGTGACATGGTCTTACTAAGTTGCTTAGGGCTTTGCTAAGTTGCCAACGCTGGCCTTGAAAGGAATCCTTCCTTGTCACTGGGATTGTAGGTATTCACCACCATGCCCAGCATGTATTATTACTTACTTCTTAATCATATTTAATTCTTTACTGTTATTAGTAACTTTTCTGCCCCAATATTTGATGTATTTCTTCCCAACTAAGTACAGAATATATATGAAATGGAACTTCTGTCTTGAGGAGATTGTTTTACCAACTTTGGATATACCTTAAGAGGAAAAGAGATATTTTTAATCTAGACCTCCAAAGCTATGTAAATATATAATACGTTGTAAAAGGACTGATGAAGGTAATAATGTCATTAGATATTGCCCTGAAGCTTTTAACTAAGACAGTAACTCCCACTTTATCCTATAAGAATGTGCCTACCTGTTCTAGGTAAGTTAGCAAGACCCTGTCTCAACATAAAAAGGGGTAGGGATGTAGCTTGATGGTTAAGTGCCCCTGGGATCAATAACCAGTACCAATAAATAAATAAATAAATAAATAAGAATGTGCCTGCCTGCTACCTGTTCCCTAACTTAGAACAGCAACCAAAGGAGTGACCAGAATATTCCTAAAAAGGAAGAATCTCCAAGTATTCTAGAAAGAAGAGTTTTCTGAATTATAGGATAAGTCTGACTTAATGGAAGCAGCAACAGCAAGACCAGAGTAACTAAATCCATGCTACTGCTCATAGTGTATATCAAGATCTCTTCAGTGCTGCTATCCTTCTTAGAGAGCACAGGCCTATTAAAAATTTGCCAAAACATTATCTTCTGTCTCCATCCTATCCAGACACAATCACTAGTACTTCCCAGCAGTGGAGATCATATATTTCTGCCAAGTTTACACTCAAAATAAAAAAAGTGACTAGCTAACAAAATCTGACACTGTCAGGTGAGTCAGTATTTATCTCCCATCCTTCTAAATGAGGGGTTTTTTTTGTTTTTGTTTTTTGTTTTTTTGGCAGTGCTCATGGTAAGCAAGTACTCTAAGTACTCTACCACTGAGCTACATGCCCAGCCCAAGGGAGACTGTTTTATCCTGGTGGCTCTCTCCCCTGTCTGAGGGCTTCCATCAGTACTGCCAAAAGCCCGTTGCTTACACACTGAACACCTACTTACATGGAAATCAACCCTTGTATTCTTACAAGGTGTGTAATTTGGGCATGGGGCACATTTTTGTAACTATTCCATCCATTTCCAAAGGTTAACCACCTCCTTTTATTGTCCCTTTATCACCTCCATTATTTTCCTGAATGGTCATATCAGAAATTACATAATTTCACATTATAAAATTACCGTTTTTTTAATCTTGTTTAGAAACTTACATACTTTTTTCCTGCATTATCATAAGTTAATGTTTGTTTTAGGCTCCTAAAAATGGAGATACAGTTACAGAGTAACTAAAGAATATCAGTTTATCAATAATTCTGTGTCACCATGTAGAATTTGTGAGATCAACTTCTTTTCAAAAACATTTTGTTTTTTTCATCATTCCATTTATTTCTCTCAAGAGAGTAGAATATTCTGATAAATATTTGCAGAAGCTCCATAGAACATTCAGATGTTTTTGTTATAATGGAATTTTGTTGTAATGGACATTGTAGACCCGCATCCTAATTGTAAAGTTTAAATATGATGCTGGTTTCTTTCTTGATATTTAGAAAAGGGTCAACACATTTTTTTTCTGTAAAAAGCCAGATAGTAAATATTTTCAGTTTAATTCTGACATTGTAACATGAAACCAGCCATAGACAATATGAAAAAAAAATGGGTGGGTGCAGCTATATTCCAACATAACTTTATTTATATATATAAAAAAATACAAACAGGACAAGGCTTAACCTCAGACCATACTTTGCCAATTCCTGACTTAGAAATAAATTGACTAGTAATTGACTTACTAGTACAAATAGCATGTTTCATTGTGTTGTTGTTTTTTTCTTTTTCTTTTTCTTTTTCTTGGAGCCCATGACTTTTTGCTTGTTTTGTTTTAATGGGTAGTTTGGGAGTTTTGTTGAAATACTTAAGGTGACCGAGATGTACTACAAATGGAAAGAAAGGAATTAATGGCAGAATAAAAGTGGTCCTTCTGTATCCCAGCATAAGGGGCATAGACCTGTAGTCCCAGCTAGAAGCTGAGACTGTAGGACTGCTAGAGCCCAGGAGTTCAAGGGTAGTCTGGGCAAGATAGCAAGACCTGTCCCAAAAAAGGGGGGAAAAAATTGGTACCAACAGCTTGGTTCCCCTCCTGCAATGTGAACAAATCAGTAATCAAGTTTACTTGCAGTGTAAAGTCTGTGTGTTCAAAACAGTATCCTTGGTCAAGGAAATAGGTTTGTGAGAACCCCTTCTCTATGGGGATGAACCCAGGTTTCATGCATGCTAGGCAAGTGCTTTGCCACCTAGCAACATCTCCATCCTCTTGCTTTTAGTTATAACAGAATTATGCCCTTAGGTTATCATTAGTGTTGATTCATAGATGATCCATCTTATTGTTAATATGTGAAATAATTGTTTAGGGTTTTTTCCCCCCCCAAAAAAAGTAATATTTCACATCAAGGTTGTAAAGACTTTTCACTTGCTAAAAATATATGGTAATAGGAATCAATATCAAAAGACTTAATGTTGGCTATTGTTTCTTTTAACTGGATATATTTGAGTAGCTTCAGAGTTTAAAATTAAATGAGATTTTAATCACAGAAGGCTTTTAACATGTTTTCATTACAAAAAAAAATTACATTTCCTGGAAGATAATTATATCAGAAAAAGAAACTAGGAAATGGGTAATTTCTATTCCTTTTTATAAAATTAGAGTAAACAGCCTGGCATTTTTTGAATATTTGCTTTTATTTTTGAATGAAGTAAATGTTTTCATTTACTTAATTTTCTGTTTCCTTTCCATTTTTTATATATTTCTCCATATTTGCCTGAAGCAAATATAAAACTTACAACTTTCTGTCAAATACTCTCATTAGTATGTGATACTGATGTATCATTTTAATTTTAAAACACATTATCAGAGTTTTTAGGACTATTGAAATGTCAGCATTTGGCTTTAGTTTTGCTCCCATTTATTTTTTTTATTTTTATTTTTTTAATTTTTTAATATTTATTTTTTAGTTTTTCTGTGGACACAACATCTTCATTTGTATGTGGTGCTGAGTATCGAACCTGGGCCACATGCATGCCGGGCAAGCGCACTACCACTTGAGCCACATCCCAGCCCCCCATGTATTTAGTGTAAGAATAAACTTGGAATAAATTGCTGACAGGAGGAAACATTGTTAAATGAAAAACTGAAAATTAATAGAATCATTGATTTCATTTGAGCATTATTACACAGAGGTCTCAGAAGCATGAAGTTGTACATCAACATTTATTTGCTCATAGCTGTAATATTTAAATAACTAGGCCCAACAAAATAGCTCCATCATAGCACATCTTTAACAAAAGGTACTTAGTTTTTCCTCAGTGATTTCAGCTTCAGACCAGATTAAGCTTAAAATCCTGTATACTTGATACAGATCTGAAATGTTCCTTACTGAAGACACAGTATAAAATTTCATCCATGGAGTCTTTTAGTTTCAATGTTAAAATTCCTAGGGAAATTTAATCCACACTCGCCTATCGGTCTGTGTGTGTGTATGTGTGTGTGTGTGTGTGAGAGTTACTAAGTTTTTGTTGTCAGGCAAATAAGGTAATATTTTATTCAAAATTATCTCAGCATTTTGGTCACTCTTCAAAATAAATTTGAAATCTTCTTAACCTTCCATCAGGGCCATAGTTACTTTTAATACCATGGGTTTCATCAGCTCACATTTTAGTGCTTTTTTAAGGGGTTTGGTAACTTTTTTAAATCGTTCAAAATGTTCTTAAAATTTGAAATCCATGCAAGTTATACATTTATGGAAATATTTTTTTAATAAAACAAATGGAATATTGCCAAGTTTCTAGTGTAAAACTCTTCAAATAAAATAAAATACATTGGGGTAAATAGAGTATAAAGATCCTTTAATCGGTCTGTAGCCTAATACTAATTTAAATCATTTATATTCATCAAGTAGTACAAATTATTAGACTAGAATCCAAAATCAGAGAGGAATTTATACTCAATATTTTCAGTCTGTCCCTTAATTCACAAGACCTCTTATTCTTTGATTAATTAGACTTAACATTTTTCCATTCTGAGTGCTAAAGCCATTGGCCGGATTAGATGAAAACAAGCCCCTTGTTGGGTGCTCCCACAAAAGTCAGGCCATACACAGATTATGAAGAATCTGTATGCAGGATGATGTCATTTAATGGGACAGGCCTTTTATTCTGAAACAGGGCTCTTCATAATAATTGAAATTTAGCACATAGCAGGCCCAGGGGTTTGCCTTCACTGCTACACCCCCAGTCGTGGCAGCCTGTCAGCTGTATGCTAAGGAGGTGAACAATTAAACAGGGTTCTATCTGGCTGGCCCCACAGGCTCTAGGCTCAGACAAAGAACTGTTTATACACCTGTTGTGCGTGTAGATGGCCATTTGAATGTGGAACAGCAGATTAAAGGGAGAATGTGGGAGCAGGGTGAGCAAGGGTTAAAAGGAACTATAAAAATTGTGAAAGTCAAATTCTCCAGAAAATATATGAGGGCCATTTGCAAAAGGAGTCAAGTTACAAAGAAAAAGTTCCTGCTAACTTCATTAACATGAAAAACTCCAGACATCAAGCTTTCTGCTAGTCCTGGACCATTTTTTAAAGGCTTATATTTTTACTGTGTATACCAATTAAATTTGCTCTTTTGGAAGTTGGTAATGTAGATTGGCATGGCCATGGAGGCAAAAATATTTTCTGGCATTTATATTCTAAAACAAATTGATCAATCTGACATTCCTTAAAGAGAAAGGTAGAATCCTTAAAATTTGTTGTTTAGATAATGATCCTATGTCTGCCAAACACTTCATCAAGAAGGTGATAGAATTTTTTTATTATTATTTTAGTTCCCCAAAATAAAAAAATATTTATCCTAACGAACTAAAAGGTTAAAATTCAGCAGATACGTTTTACCTTAAGAGAGTGAAAATTCACAAGTATTACTGTTCAATGGTATTGTCTTACAGAGCTATTAGATTCGTTTGTATATATATATATTATACATGACAGTAGAATGTATGTATTTTGGCAGGATATACATATAAAGTATAGCTTATTCTATTTAGGATAAAGTTTATATTTTAAGAGATTATCTTCTTCTAAATTACCTGTGACCGCTCAAAATCCTAGATAAGAACAGAATTAGCACGTATTACCAAAGATCACGGGAAGTTTTAAACCCATCATAAACATAAACACAGCTTTTGCTTTGTCCTGCAAAGATTTCCTGAGCTGATCAAAAATGTTCTGATATTTTATCTTAGGCATAGGCCTAGGCTTCTAAGAGTCCAAAGAATTTATAGCTATATGTTTTGTTTATCCCATATCTATTTTCATAAAATGGAATTTTGAACTTACCTACCTCTTATATCACTCAGTAGTCCATAGTTACAAGAAAGCACCCTTATGTAAAGTTAGGATACCTTTGAGAAAGAGTTTCATGAAACATTTTGAGAATAAATTTCTTCTTCACTGGCTATTAGGCTAAGTTCTTTAGATTTTTCTCAAGCTTTTGGGGGTTATAGGGGAAACCTTAGACTTTTCAAAACTTTTAAGGATGGGAATGAGGTTTGAGGACTATCATCTTTTTTCTTTTTTTTTTTTTTTTTTGGTCTCTTCTAGTTCTAAGATTTTATTATTTTAATGCAGATGAAATTTATGTGATTCAGAAAAAAAGTTAAAATCAATTCTTGAATATCCAAGAGAGCAGTGACAAAAATTATTCTTAGCAAATCCTCAAATAATTTTAAATGTACTATGGAATACACTAAATGGAGTTTTAAAGAATGCATTAAAGATATGAAGAGGGGTTAAAGATAGATATTTCCTTAAAAGTATTGTGGAAGAACTGATATATTGTAATCAGGTCCACTGCCAAATGGCCTGTATTGCCTAAAACTGCTTTGGTTCCTTTTGTTTAGCTCACAGGAAACCAAAGGATAAACTTGTGTAGGGATATTTATACTTCTTAGGGTAAAATCCATACAAAGTCATAAAAGATAAAAGCTTTATTAATTACTCAAGAGGGATTCAAAGCCTAACAATTTACTAGGATTGAAGGATTTATTGAAAAACAGTGGTTCTCGTGTATAACTCCAAGCAATAAACCTATTTAATTAAAGGCTTAATCTTCTAGTTGACACGTCTGCTACTGCTCTAATAAAAAGCTTCATCTATAACAAGTTTTTCTAAAAATATTGCAGTAGCTAAATGCTTGAGCTATTTTAATGCTTTACCTTTCAGGTTTTTGATTAAAGTTTAATGTAAACATATATTGCCATTTTTGTTGCCTGGCAAGGCAGAAGTTTGTTAACCTTAAATTTCTTTAGTTTCATACTGCTTTTGCCACTCTTAAAAAAATTTGAGGGTAGGTAGTTAGAGAAAGAAAAAAATAAGATAACTGTATATGGGGGAGGCACACCAATGTTAAATACAATTAGTAGTTGGAATGTAGCTGTATTTTGTTAACTACAAGGTCACACATTTTTTAAATATTTAGGTAGCGTATGAAGTAGATTTTCAGATTTATGTAGAATCAATAATAGACTTTTAGTGCTTTATGGTTTATAGAATGTTTTTTTCTCTAAAAGTTCTTTTGGCTTCTAACAACAATACTGTGGAATTTAAAAATTTGAAAGTTAACAATTTTTTTTAGAGTAACATTTTGATTTGGTTTAAAAGCAGTACTATATTTTAAAATTTTCATCAAAACCCAGAAAAGTCATCCAAAAAAAGTTGCTAAATTCAGATGAATGATACTGTTTTCTCTATTAAACCTGTAAAAGAATTGTGACAGAGTGGGTTATGGTAGCACACACCTTTCGTTCCAGCTACCATGGTGGCTGAGGCAGGAGAATCACTTGAGCCTAGGAGTTCAGAGCCAGCTGGGGCAACAGAGGAAGACCCTGTCTCAATACCAACAACAAAGAATATGGATAGTTCTTGACCTCTTTTTTGTTTTTGTTTTTGTTTTGTTGTTACTTTAGGTTGGAACTCACCGGGAAGATTCTGTCAGTCTCAATGGCAATCATTCAGTCCTGTCTAGTACCGTTGCTGCTTCAAGCACAGACTTGAACCATAAAACACAAGAAAATTATAGAGGTAACTATAATCCGTTTTCAGCAGTAATAGAAACAGATATCATCTGGAATACTGTCACTTTCTCACTGTGTATCTAACATCTTTGAATCAAAAATCATCCCAGGTGGTAGAATTTCAGAGAGTAATATTGCTACATGAATATAGATGGTATTTATATATTTAGGATTCCTAAAAGATATATATTAATGGACAGAGCCATATGCACACCATCATTTAGTATTTATTGGGTTTTTTGTTTGTTTTTAACTTGCTCCTACTTCAGTCATGTCCCTTCCTTAATTATTGCCTCTCATGAGTGAGCTTGTGTGGTACCTAGAGGCAGTAAGAAAGATATTTCTGAGTATATTGAGAATCATGAATAATGGTAACTGTTGTTTATGGTTTTTTAAATTTCATTGAAGAGACATAATTTTGATAAAAGGGAAGCTATTCTCAATGTTATAGTAGAGTCCATAAACAAGTACAAATATATTGGTAACATTAAAAGCCACCAATTTCTCCCAGTTATATTTAGCCATGATGCCTATTTTATTGTGTTTATGTGGGAAAATGTTAAGCTTATTTTATTTACCTTGGCAGCATCTTAAAAGTCTCAGGTTGAACATAGTGGTGCATATGCCTAATCCTAGTGACTGGGGAGGCTGAGACAAGAGAATTTCAAGTTCAAGGCGAGAGTAGGGAACTTTGAGGCCCTGTCTATATATAAATAGATATATAGATACATAGATAAATAGGGCAGGGATATAGCTTAGTGGTAGAATGCCACTAGATTCAATCCTAAGTACTAAAAAAAAAGAAAGAAAAGAAAGAAGTTAATTTCTAGTTTCTCATACCTTAACTTGTTAAATAGTATATGAAAGTGAGTCTCATCTTTTATTTTCTGTTTCCTTCATCTCTTTGTTAGGTGGGTTGCAAAGTCAGTCTGGAACTGTTGTTCCAACAGAAATCAAGACTGAAAACAAAGAAAAGGATGAAAACCTTCATGAACCTCCTTCATCAGATGACATGAAATCAGATGATGAATCCTCCCAAAAAGATATCAAGGTCTCATCTAGAGGCAGAACAAGGTATTTGTTAGTATCCAGGTATTAAATTTCACTCGTTTGCTATAGATGAAGTTGAAGGGTTTCATGTATTTACTGCTAGCTATGTTCTAGATACTGTGTTGGAATTTTTATGTATGTTTATTCCATCATCCATAAAAGGGAGAAATATGAAGGCTTAACTCCAAAATTTTGTTCTCTATTCCACCACACCATTTTAGGGTCTGCATTGAAAAAAAGAATCACATTTCTTGATTCAGTTTGCTTTTGGTCTATAAAACAGTATAGGGGGAAAATTGTATGATACAGACATTTAGATATATTCAGGCAATAAATGTTCAATATATTAATTTAAGAGCTAAGTGTATGATAATACTCCTGTATAGTTTAAAGCAGGTGTCAGTGAACTATGGCTTATGGGTCAATGCAACTCATTGCTTACTTCATAAAAAAAGTTTTATTGGAAAACAACCATAACCATTTGTTTTCATGTTGTCTATATCTGTTCTTGCTTTACATTGACAGATTTTAGTAGTTATCATAGAGACCACATGGTTTACAAAACTGAAAATATTTACCATCTGGTCCTTTACAGAAAAGGTTGGCTGAGTCCTGATTTAAACAAAAATTTCATAAAACTATGAAAAGAAAATGCTTCAATACAGACTGTTGTTGGGGAAATTTGTCTAGAAATTGGACTTGACCTTACTCTTAAGTAGGGCTATAGAGACGTATTAGTTTCAAATGATTTTCCAAAGTCTTTCTTCAGATTTTTCTTGCAATTCTACATTAAAATTAGATAATTTAGTATATTTGCAATACATTCTGTTTGTTAGTATATATCCATTTACCAATAATATGTGTACTTCACATGCAGATATTTTTATTTATAACATTGGTTTGTGTGTGTATTACAAGCTGCCTTTTTGCCTTTTGACATTCTTACTATTTTCAAAACTGAAACTTTTCTCTTGGAAAAAGTAATTTTTAAGGTCCTTTTGCTATCATTTTTAAAAAACATTTTTTAAATTGCCAATGGACCTTTATTTTATTTATTAATTTACTTATATATGGTGCTGAGAATCAAACCCAGTGCCTCACACATGCTAGGCAAGCACTCTATCACTGAGCTACAACCCCAGCCCCCTATTGCTATCATTTTAATATACATTTTACTTAACTGATATCTACAAATGAGGAAGGAAGAATTAGATCCAGCAATCTAGAGACCACTCCTTTGAGGCATCTTAACTCTTTCATAGTTAAATTATTCAGAAAGAACATTAAGGGAAATAATTTTGTGTCCTTCCTCTTCATATAACTCTTCATCTGCTACATCAAGAGTCAGGAAACCATCTGTAAAGGGTCAGAGAGTAAATATTATAGGTTTTATGGGCCATATAGTCCCTGTCACAGGTACTCAGTTATGCTTTTATAGCATGAAGGTAGCCAGAGATAATGTATAAGCCAGTGATCATGGCTATTTCAATAAAATTTTAGTTCCCAAAACAGCCAACCAACTCATGGCCATAGTTTATAGACCCATATTAGAGACCCATCAGAAATCAGAAGGTAGTGTAACAAGTTAACAATTGTTAATACTAATTAATTAGTGACCAGCATGACCTTTGGACAAATGAGGCTAACCTGGGTTTGAATTATGGCGCCATCACATATTGGACAAATGACCTTGGACAGTTATCAAAGTTCTTTGAGACCAGTTCCTCCTGCTCTAAGAAGAGACTTTCTATTGTATTTCTTAGAGTATTCTCTAAGGAACAACCTAAAAGTGTTGCATGTAAAACCTTTTGCATACTTTGTAGCATGCAGTAAGTACTCCATTTATAAAGCTACTATAGTTTAAGTTATGATAATTTTAAGTATGCAATGTAGGTTTCCTTCCACAGAGTAATGATATGGTTTCTCATCATTACTAATAAGCTTTATGTTATATGGAAGTCACTGATTTCCCTCTGTTTTATATTTACAGTCCAGTCCTTTTTTTATTTTTTAGTTTGAGACAGAACCTCACTAAATTGCTGAGGCTGACCTCAAATTTGCCATCCTCCTGCCTTAGCCTCCTGAGTTGCTAGCATTACAGACGTGTCACTGTGCCCAGCAAGAAGTTGTATTAAGTTTTCCTAGACATTCTGATGAGTGGCCACATTTGGACACCTTTGGGCTAGATGATCTTTAAAGGACCTTTTGAAGTTAAATAGCTAGTGACTCTGTTATCAAAAGAAGGCATTATAATTTCAGTTTTTTAAATTTACTTTTTCTTTTGTCTTTGTTTTTGTTTTGTTGTAGCGGGGATCTAACCTGGGGCCTCAGACATGCTAGGCAAATGCTCTCCCATGAAGCTAGGTCCGTAGTCCTGTCCTGAGTGTTTTCTGTAGCATGGGTTTTGGGAGGTTTTTGTTTGATTGGTTAGTTTCATAGTGTTTTATGGTACTGGGGATTACCCAGGGGCTGATGCCAGGTAGTAGTTCCACCACTTTAGCTACATTCCTAGCCCTTTTTAAAAATGTTTTATCTTGAGGGCTGGGGCTGTAAACTCAGTTGCAGAGTGCTTGCCTAGCATATGCAAAGCACTGGGTTTGATCCTTAACACCATTATGCAAATAAATAAAGGCATCTGTCCAACTACAACTACAAAAAGATTTTTTTAAAAAAAATGTTTTGTCTTGAGACGGGGTCTCCTTAAATTTCTCAGCCCAGCTTTGAACTTGCAGTCTTTTCTGACCTTCCCAAGTAGCTGGGTTTGCAGGTTTGTTCCATCATGCCTGGCTACAACATGGTTTTTTTGCTCATTTTTCTTTTGGGCCAGTAATTTTAAGGTATATTTCACATACCATAAATCAGGTATTCACCACCATGCCTGGCTTTAGCATGGAGATATTTTTATGCTAAAATGAACAATAAAAAATGTATCTGGGAGCTGGGGATGTGGCTCAAGCGGTAAAGCGCTCGCCTGGCATGCGCGGGGGCACTGGGTTTGATCCTCAGCACCACATAAAAATAAAATACAAAGATGTTGTGTCCACCGAAAACTGATAAATAAATATTTTTTTAAAAAATGTATCTGAGGGGCCACGATTGTAGCTCAATGGTAGAGCACTTGCCTAGTATGTGGGAGGCACTGTGTTCAATCCTTGGCACCACATAAAAATAAGTAAAGTAAAGGTTAAAAAAAAAAAATACAACTCTTTTTTTTTTTTTTTTTAATGTACATGGAGCTGGGCAGGGTAGTGCATACCTATAATCCCAGCTACTTAGGTAGCTGAGGCGGGACTCTAAATTCAAGGCCAGCCTTAGCAACTTAGTTACACCTGGTCTTACCAGGGATGTAGCTCAGTGGTAGAGTGCCCCTGGGTTCAATCCCCAGTGTTAAAAAAATAAAAATATGTGGTAGAGTTTTGACTATATAATCTCGTATCTGCACTGAAGAATGGAATGACTAGAAAGAAGTATACAGTCATGTTAAGTACAGCTGTTACTCCTGTTTTAGTAAATTTCATTTCTGTCTTTATAATCTTGAACAATCAGCATATTTTACTTGAAAGAAAGCTAATAGACACTGTTATTGCTTTATTTCAGCAGTACTAATGAAGATGAGGATTTGAACCCAGAACAGAAAATAGAAAGGGAGAAGGAAAGGCGGATGGCTAACAATGCCAGGGAACGTTTGCGTGTGCGGGATATTAATGAGGCATTCAAAGAGCTTGGCCGAATGTGTCAGCTTCATTTGAAGAGTGAAAAACCCCAAACAAAACTCCTTATTCTTCATCAGGCCGTGGCAGTCATCCTTAGTCTAGAACAGCAAGTCAGAGGTAAGTGGGTACAGAAGAGATAAAAAGTGTTCTACTGACAGGTGGGCAGACCTTTCTGTTTCCAGTAGTTGTATTGCTCAGGCAAGTTATTTGTAAGTCCTCCCAGTACTTCTGTCTCACTGTATTGGTCAGTAAATGTGATTCCACAAACCAGTAGAGAGTAAGCCTGTGAAACAAAGCAGAAAACAGATAGCCTCTGCCTGCTGCTCAGCATTAGTGCTTTGTGCCACTTTGTTCTCATGGACTCTTCACTTACAGTGCTTTATTTACTTGTCTAGATCTGTCCTCCTCCCTAATCCTCCCTAACTTCCCTTGTTCTCTGTACTCTAAACTTGCAGACTTTACTCTGAAGCCTCTACTAGGACCTGCTGGTTAGTTGGCTGCCTAATCATGGCTCCTGATGACTTTGCTAGATATGGATGTCCTTTGCACCTGTGTCAGTAAGGTCTCAGGGCTTCCTCTTGATCCCTGATTAGGAATACCATAGACTTCCTGGAGTAGCACATACCAACATGCCTGTGTCTCTCTAAGGGCAAAAGTGTGTGGATTATTATGGCTCAAACCCTGCTGACTTAAGCAACCATTCTGTTTAATTTTTCATGAACTTTGATGAAAACTAGAAGCTTTGGAACTTCATTATTTAACATGCATTTAAATCATACTTCTTCTGCACCAACCAGATGTATCCTAGACACTGAGCTATCAAATGATAGAAGCTTCCTGCCCTTGAAAGTTTCTATCATCATGTTTGTATTTTTGGATACCTGTATATGTTCTTATCAGGTTTATGAATGTTTTATTCCAAGCCTTTTTGCAAGGAATTCATAAATGTGGCCCTGCTTTCCAGGCCCCACCAGTAGTCTTTCTTTCTTCATTGGAAGTTAACTCTTTCAATGAATATTTATGTTCTATTTTATTTGAAGAAGGAAAAAAAAGAATAGAGATGGGCAGATGTTTGAAAACTACAACCATCGGCTTTCATCATTGATTATAGAAAAAAAGAGAGAACTTTTAGAAAGAGATAGTAGCAGTTACTTCATCTATTTCCCTCCAGTATTTTTAGGCATAAGGGTTATGTATGGATTATCTCGTGGATGATCAGCATACTACTAAAACCAAATACTTAACTCATCTTGTTGCAAAACCCTTGAAGTATCTGTGGAGGATATATGAAACCTAATCTTTAGGGGTTATATGCTCCTTTGAAATATTCATAAAGAGGCCATTCATCTGTAGCAGAAGCAGTGTATCCTTGAGCCTGTTGATATGTCCTGTCACTTCACCAAAATATTGTTTTCTTGAATTGTCTTTAACACTTTTGTCCTACTCTGAAGGCAGCAAGGCACTGTGCTTAGTAGTCCAAGTGCACTCATCCCCCTCTCGTTAGCCTGAAATATTTTTTACCCTGAAAATATTTGGAGCCACTTATTGTTAAAGTTATTGTCTCCATCTGGGATGTGAAAGTCTTACTGTCTGGTCAACAAGAGTTCCAGAATTCATTTTAGTACAATACCGTTTCCTTCCCACAGTACATTCGAGCTAGAATACAGAGTCCTAAGTGGGTTTTTTTAACTTTTTTTTTTTTTTTTTTTTAAGAGTAGAAAGACCCACTCTCAGATCCACACCATCAAAATGAAAAATACTTCTGTTTGGGAAAAATGTTACAAACTCTACCATGCCCATATCGATCTTGATCATTTGTAACATTTAATTCTGCAGTGGTCCCATGTAGGTACCTAGAACAGAAAAACTGAGTCTGAGAGAGGGTTTTAACACCTAGGCTTGTTCAGCTGCCTGCTGTCTTTCTGGTTACAGTTATGGGTACTAGCTTCCTGTGGGTTCTGAAAGCTCTAAGGAGTCTTTCACTGATTAGAGTTTGAACAAATTTCAGATATGCCAAACCATAACTTTTTCAGGGATTACTTTAATACTCAGAAAATACTTTTTCCTTCTTTGTGACTCTGGGCCTGAAGCCCACAGCCTTTATCTTATATCCCTAAGATACATAAAAGACTTTTTCTTGAAGGACACTCAAAGCTGTCTGTCAAACAGGGTCTAGAACCTTGACGAAGCCCACAATACCTAGAGTTTGGTATAGTCACAGTTTTTTTCCTGGGCTTATCTCTAGCAGTTTTGAGTTATTTTGGTAACCTGCTCACATTTTAGAGCCTCTTCATACTGGCAGTTCCTGAGCCCAGCAGTTTCTATAGACATACATTTTGTTTATATGACATGCTTTGGGTATCCTTAGGATTCCTTGACTTTTCTTCTGGTATAGGGTGGTGCTCCAAAACTTTCTCTGTCTAGTAGCCCCAATCTGCTGGATGAGTGAATAAGCAGGAGGCAAGCAGACTTAGGTCCAGCAATCATCCTAGAAAATAATAGAAAGAATGGCTTCTCTTCTAAGCTTCAGAGTTTTCCCAGAGCACATTTTGTGCCTTGGTGCCTCACATAGCAAACCCCATCTGGTCTCTGCCATTGCCAGTTTAAGCCTTTCTGTTATCATAGTCACAGTTTTAACATTATCCTTGTCATTTGTATTCCTTAGCAGATTTCACATATTACCTTCAAATTTGTACTTTCAGCATTACACAAGATTTAGTCAATAATCAAACATTTCATCCTCTCAAGTTCTTTCAGAACTCAATCAGCTCACATCTCTTCTGGCAATAATTTATACATAAGAGAACTATTAGGTTTTAAAATTCCAGTTTCCAGGTGAGTCTGAAGATAAATGAGCTAGGACATTGGTTACCAAATCTGGCTGGTCCCAGAATCACCTGAGGATTTTCTTTTCTCAAACAAATTTCCAATACCCCCCAGGAGATTCAGTTGGAATTAGAGAGTCAAAGATGATAGAGTTGGCATATGCACTGATAATATTCCACTATAAGGACAGAAGAGAAAGTAGGCAATAGCAGATGAGACGAGTGGGGGAAGGGAAGCATGTAGGAAGGAAAATATATTGAGTAGTGGTACCTAACTTATTTATTTCCAAGTATCAAAAAATCCTAAGAGTACTCCTCTGAAGATTAGGATCTAATGTTGTGGGAAATATAATAATTTTTTCAAATGGCCTAAAAGCATCATTATGAGATTTCAGAACATCAGGGTTAGAAAGAATATCTGAAAACTTCTAGAAACAAAATTTAAATAGTTTGTAGAAAAAGGAACAAGAGTCAAATATCATCAGAGTTCTGGACACTAGTTCTCCTGAATTCTAGGAGATAGTAGAACAGTGCTTCAAAACTCTGAGGAAAATCATTTTCACCCTAGAATTCCATACCTAACCAAACAATCAAAATAAAACAGAATAAAGATACTTCAGATATATAAAGACTTTAAAATTTTACCTCCCATGTACACTTTTTCAGAAAGCCTCTGGAAAGTTGGCTTAGGCCAAATAAGACACAATCAACAAAACTAAGGTACGAGATCCAGAAAACAGAACTTGACACAGGAGAGAAGCTAAGAGAAATCCCATGACAAGAGCTCCTAAACCTAGGGGCTGGGGTAGAACAGTGGTAGAACACCTGCCTCTCAGGTGTGAGGAACTGGGTTCAATCCTCAGCGCCGCATAAAAATAAATAAATAAATAGATTGAATATATTGTGTCCATCTACAACTAAAATATATATATATATAAAAATAAAAGAGAGAGAGCCTAGAAAACAAAACAAAAAACCTACTAGACCTAGAAAACATTTCATTCATTGAAGACAGAAGATGCTTATCTGAAGAGAAAAGATTTTCAGGGAGAGAAAATAGGATTAATAGATGACATGATGTGTTTGAGATTGTAGGAAGATAGGTATCTGTTAGATAGGTATCTGTTAGATCTTTTGGAGTATTAACTAGGGGATAGGTAACTCCACATCATGTACAACCACAAGAATAGGATCCTAATTAGAATAAGTTATACTTCAAGTATGTACAATATATCAATACACTCTACTGTCATATATATCTAAAAAGAACAAAAATAATATGAGAAGTAGGTGATAGGATTAGCATTACTGAAAAAAAAAGCAAGATAGCTGTGAACTACTGGGAAACCTGTTTTATAAGTAAGGAAACTAAAATTCTTGATTTAGCAAGTATCTTCATATAGTCACAATAACATAAATATTTAACTAGTCATAATAATGTAAAAAATGGCTGTAAGCTGGGCATGATGGCACACTTTTGTAATCCTAGCTACTAGAGAGGCTGAGGCAGGAGAATCACAAGTTTGAGATTAGCCATGTAACTTAGACCCTATCTCAAATAAAAAAATAAAAAGAGTTGAACATGTAGTTCAGTAGTGAAGTACCTGCCTAGTAAGCTTGAAGCCCTGGATTTAATCCCCAGTACAAAAAAAAAAAAAAGGAAAGTGACTACTGAGTGAACCAAAAATGCCACTGTAAACACGTTGAGAAGGTGGCATTGTAATACTGCCACATCTTCAGCTTTATACCCAACATCAAGAGATAGAATTCCTCTAATGGAAATGTGGGAACACAAGCGAACATGCCCTGAAGGTAATGTTGGACTTCTGCTTTAACATCTCTATCAGATCTTTCTGGCTACACAAACGTACTTCCATGGGTTGCTCACACACACCAAGAGGTATAAAAGTGTGACCCTTGCCTTCACCTTGTCTGACTTAAAGCTACATAGACTTTATATTTCCTAGAGTCTGCTATAATATTCCTACTTTTACAACTCTGAAGTGTCCTTTGTCTTACTATGGAAACTATAAGATCTTGCCCAACTTGTTGAATTTTTCATCCTTTCCAGCTGTTTTAATCATGCATCCTAGATTCTGGTATGACACAGAGTCGAAGTTAGCTAAGAGCATATTCCATTATAGGGGAAATGTGAGCCTATCTCACATGAAAAAAATTTTAAATCTCACTTTTTCCTCCTTAGATTTTACCTGTAAATTTAACTTCTCTCCGTCTCTCTGATCATGATATGAGACGGTCACCTCCACAGGGCCATGACACATAACAAAGACAAACTCTTCTTATTGATCAGAGGTGCAGTTACTTGTCAGAAAAACTCTTGGGCGGGAGTGTAACTCTGTGATAGAGCACATCTTACCATGCACAAAGCCTTGGGTTTGATGCCCACCTCCACAGAAAAAGTAAACAGAAAAAACTGGGCACAGTAACACACACCTGTAATCCTAACAACTGGGAGGCTGAGGCAAGAGGATTCCAAGTTCGAGGCTAGACTCAGCAACTTAGCAAGAGCCTGTCTCAAAATAAAAAGAGCTGGGAAGGTAGCTTAGTGGTAGAACACCTCTGGGTTCCATTCCTAGTACCACTGTAAATAAATAAATATATAAGCTCCTTATATTATTTTAGGGCATTTTTAATCAGTTTATACAAATATGTGTAACAAAAGAAAGACTATATCTGTAGTAGTTATGGGCTAGATATCATGTTCTTTAAATTTTTATTCTGGGACTGGGGATGTGGCTCAAGCAATAAAGCGCTTGCCTGGCATGTGCAGGGTGCTGGGTTCAATCCTCAGCACCACATACAAATAAAAAAAATAAAGATGTTGTGACCACCGAAAACTAAAAATAATAAATATTTTTTATAAAATAAAATAAAATTTTATTCTTTTGGTAAAACCCAATTTCTTAACCTCTTTTGAAAATGCATACATTTCTAGGCACAGTAGCACATGTCTATAATCCCAGCAGCTTGGGAGGCTGAGGCAGGTGGATTGAAAGTTAAAAACCAGCCTAGCAACTTAGCAAGACCCTAAGCAACTGAGTAAGACCCTGTCTCAAAATAAAAAGGAAAGAAGAGAAAAAGAGAATGAGGAGGGAAAAGAAGAAGAAAATGCCCACATCAGGGGTTCCGAACATCCAGGCTTCTTTGCTATCTTAGGTGGTAAGGATTTTACCATCTATGAATGACAGCTAGCAATAGAAAGAACTACTCAGTCATCTCTACATATAAAAGCAGAAAAATAGGGTGTGCATGATATCTCTTTCTCTTTTAAGTTAGTACATTTCCTACAGAGGAATATCTATCTCTTATTTTATTATTTTCTATACTGGTAAAGGTCTAGATAAGGCACAGATGTCTCTCTCCGAGTACATAGTTGATTTCAGCTTTCATATCAATTCATTGTGCCATGTCTAATGAGGACTCTGAGGAGACTTGGTCGACTAATAACAACATTTGCCAAAAAGTGAAGAGTAGCATGATGATTTAGATCAAATCAAACCCTAAAAGACTAAATCAAAAGCAGAAAATGAAGAAAACGCAAATGGTCACTAAGAATTTGAATCTGGTGATTCATTTAATGCTGAACTTCGGTGGGAGCACATTGTGGCTACCTCTGTGTAATGGCATTCAGTATGGGATGGCCATAATGATAACAGTTCTTTCCTCTTGTTTTAGAGAGGAACTTGAACCCCAAAGCAGCCTGCCTTAAGAGAAGGGAAGAAGAAAAAGTTTCTGCCGTATCGGCAGAGCCACCAACCACGCTGCCAGGAACCCATCCTGGGCTTAGTGAATCTACCAACCCTATGGGTCATATGTAAACATCAGCCAGGTGAGTACAGCTTTGAGAAAAAAAAATACAATGAAATCACTTAAGATGCATGTTAGATTGGGTTAAAAATCTTTGAACAAAGTTCTCTGTTGGGCATTGGCCTTTGCAAAGGTCATATGTAATTTAGAGTATAGAGTACAGCAGTTTGCCTTTCTCTTATCTAATTAGAGAGCCAGTGGCATTTTATATTATTGTCTTCTAAGTTTTACAGTGTCCTATAATTTATTAAGAAATGTTGGGGGCTGGAGTTGTGAGTCAGTGGTAGAGTGCTTGCCTAGCAGGTGTAAAGCACTGGGTTCAATCCTCAGCACCACATAAAAATAAATAAATAAAATAAAGATATTGTGTCCATCTACAACTAAAAAAACAAAAAAAGAAAAAAATTTTTTTAAAGAAAGAAAGAAATGTTGGATATTCTGTTCCGAGTCATCTTGTGTACTCATTCCTCTCATGAATATTGTTGTGATCCTAGTTATAATAATGCAGTGACTCATTCATCAGAAGGTATTGTTGTTCCCACTCATACTCCTTATTCTTCTATTCAGAAATGCTTGACTTTATCAGCAAGCAGTTTTCTGCTAATCATCCATGTCTTCTTTGTCATGAATTTTCTACACTTGAAAGAGTTACTGCTTACTTCCATTTGGCTCAGTAATACAAGTTAGTAATACACACCTTCCTCCCCCTTGTAAGCACATCATTTAATACCTCTAGAATCTGTCAATGAATGTGAAGATGTTACATGATATAACCAGAATACTCTTCTCTCTGGTGGAGTTTTATTTGTTGAAAGACTTATTCTTTCTGCCCACCCCACCCAGGATTCTGGGTATCAAACTCAGGTCTCACACATACTAGGCAAATGCTCTACTACTGAGCTCCATCCCCAACCTGAAAGACTGTTATTTTTTGTCTATCTTTCATGGACTAAACACATCTTTGTGATTTTTTTTTTTATCATACAATACAGTCACATTGGTATCTAAGTTGTAAGGTTAATATTTAGAAAGCTCAAATTAGTATAGACTGTAATTAAATATTTGCAGCAGTAGCATTTTATCTAGTAGTATAGATTAAGAATAGAACTACTGGCTGGAATTGTGGCTCAGTGGTAGAGTACTTGCTTAGCATGCAGGAGGCACTGGGTTCGATCCTTAGCACCAGATAAAAATAAATAAAGGTGTATTGTGTCCATCTACACCTTAAAAAAAAAAGGAATAGAGCTTCTAACATAATTTTTATATGCTGCCTTAAGCAGTATTTTAAATCAACAGTTTTAAAACAGTAAAAAGCAGATGGTAGAAAAGTAAAATAGGAAAAAAATATATTCATTTGGTCTGCTTTCTGGCTTTATCATTTTGAGCTGAAAGTCTGGGATTTAATTGAATATTTACTAAACTGCAAACACTAGTCAGTAACTCACCTTTTTCTGAAGGATTTGGTGCTAGCCAACACTATTGGGATCAAACTAGATTACAATTGAAAATTTCATTTTGGGAAAAAGGGAGGAAGAGCCAATATAATGAGTTAAGTCAATAGTAATAGTAACATTGGTACACGGGAGAAAACGCCAAACCACTTCCCCCACAAAAAAATATCAGTAGTCCAATAGATTTTCGTGTCAAAGAGACTTTAGGCAAGAGCTTGTTAATTTGCAGATCCTCTAAAAGCCAAGCCATTGTTTTATATTCTGTGAAAAATATAAAATACTATGAAAAAGTTAAGTACTCTTATTTCATAAATAAGCTTTGCTGTTTTAAAATAAAAGCGTATCACTATTTCTCAGTGAAAAGTAATTCCTAAATTGATAGATCATTTCAAAGAAGAGTGAAGAGAGGTAACTTCATATGTTCAAATCCCAGTACCCACCACTAGGCTATGTAAAAGAACACTTGACATTCACACTCGATTTTATCTCAGACCCTGGGTTTTATTTTTTCTTGTGTCTATTCAGTTTGTTTTACCTATTTTATTTTTTTTTCTTACCCAGTCTCCCACTAGCTTTATCCCTTAACTCTGTCTCCCTATCTCATTTCTCTTTTCCTGATGACTTCCTGATCTTTTACTACTTCTGTGTTTCATTTTGCTTTCATATCTTCTACCCTTATCCTTTTTCATAATGTGGATATTCTTTTCCTTAATTAAAATTTTAAAATACATTTTAAAAGGCTTCAAGATTATGAGACATGCTATCAATACACTTTATTCCATAGATTTTATAGGCTGTTCTTAGAATATGTCTTATGGTTGCTACTATCTGGTTTTACATGTTAACCTGGTAATCTTCAGTTCTTTGTAAAACTGGAGAACAGATTAAAACCAGCAAAAGATTTGGCAGCAAGAAAACTGCTGCTATAATCAGAATGTCTAAGAAATGACCATAGAATGTCTGGTTATAAAAATATAAGAGCTGGGCACGATGACGCATGCCTGTAATCCCAGCAGCTCAGGAGGCTGAGACAGGAGGATCTCAAGTTCAAAACCAGCCTCAGCAGCAGTGAGACACTGAGCAACTCAGTGAGACCCTGTCTCTAAATAAAATACAAAATAGAGCTAGGGATGTGGCTCGGTGGTCGAGTGCCCCTGAGTTCCATCCCTGGTACCAAAATTCTCACACACACACACTCACATATATAAATAAAAGGATGTCAGGCATGGCGACATGCCTAACCAACTACTCAGAAGGCTGAGATTGGATGATTGCTTGAATCCAGGAATTTGAGACCATCTTGAACAACACAGTAAGACCCCATCTCAAAATACACATACACAAGAATTTGCCACCAATATAAAGCCAAATAGCTTTGAATCCCTTAGTTTTCTATCCTGGAGCATAACTTTGTCAATTAACAGTACTATGCTTATTGTTTACTAAGGAAGTGAAAATTTAATATTCTTCCTAAACTAGTTCCATCATAAGTGGTTTAAATGAAGTAGCTCCTTTTATTTTAGGTTTCACTTGCTGTGATTTTAGTTACCCAGTTAACTGTGGTTCAGAAATACTTAATGGAAAACTTTAGAAATAAACAATTTATAAGTTTAAATTGTGTGCCATTCTACATAACATAATAAAATCTCACTCTGTCCTGCCCAAGATGTGAATCATCTCTTTCTCCCCAGTATCTACACTGTTTGCTCCTTGCCTGTTAGTCACATAGTAGCCATCTTGATTATCAGATCCACCATCTCAGGATTGCAATACTTGTTTTCAAACTTTTACTTAACAATGGCCCCAAAACACAAATCTTCATTTTAGTATACTGTTATAATATTGTTGCTCATCTCTTACAATGCCTTTATTATAAATTAAAATTTATCATAAGTGTGTATACATAGAGGAAAACAGTGCATCCATTGAGGCTCTTGGAAGATAGCCTTCTCAGATAAGGTAGTAGGGATAGGGGTGGGACTGATAACCTATAAGAATGAAGCTTATTTGTAAGTCAATTACCAGACTACTAGTTCAGTGCAAACATTTCTGTAAGTAAGAATACTGACTTGTTTTAAGAGGATGGTGTTTATTTTTAACAACTACGCACTAACTAGTACCTGTTCTCTCCCTGCCACAGTTCCAGAGTTATCAGTAGGCTAGATAGAAGGTGACCTCTCCTCATAAGGACTTGGACAACTCAGATTATCTGAAGACACAAACCTGACAGGAGGGAGAAGATAAAACAAAACACTTGAAGCAAGAAACTCAAATGTAATCCTATGATCAAAGCAACTGGTGAACACTTCCATCAGAAGTGAAAATAGGAAGCTCATCGGATAGAACGTCAGCCCAAGAGATGTTTGCAGCATATCATTTTGTTGCAAGCAGCATGTCGCTTCTGCACAATCAGAGACTGTCTCGATCTCTCCACTCACCGTGGAAGTTGCCTTGTGCCTAAACTGAATTGACAAATGCATTGTAACTACAAATTTTATTTATTGTTATGGAACTGTAAGGTCTACATATAAAGGGAAAAAGTTAAATGTGGAAAGCTGATGTATACTCAGCTGATGCCAGCATTTGTTAAAGCTGTTCACGTGCAGAGAACAAAGCAGTGACAACCATTGGCCCTTAGCATTCCCGGCATACCTGTTAGTGTCTTAAAAAGGAAGGGAAAAGTCTTTTGTTGCCCTCTCCTATCCTTTTGCCATATGAATAGTGTTTTCCATGAAATAGGAAAATATTACTTGATATAGCATTTCTCTCGCTCTCATTTTTCATTCATTTTTATTTTCTCTTCATGGGTGTTATACTTGATCTTTGAATCTGAGTAGTTTATGGTCACAGTCCAGAATTCTCCATGCAGCCCTGTGTGCTCTGTACATCCACCTTATAGTGGTAAGCAGAGACTATCTGTGACCATAGCCTTGCTAAGATTTTAAAAGGGGAAATTTCAACCCCCTAGGTTTTCCCCCCAAGTAAATATTGCTTTATTTCTAATAATAACCAAGACTTTTCAAGCTTCTAGGTTTCATAGTAAAGCTTGTAATAATAGCAAGAAGTGTAAATTACAAGGGAAGAATCTACTTTTTAGAAATTGCTTTGTTTTCCAAGCAGTAAGTACTACATAATATAGTACTTGTAAAGTGTTAGCTGTAAGTAAGCACAAGATACGTTTAAAATACAAAGATGATTTTTCAGGCTGTGATTATGGTGAACAAAACAAAACCCAGTAGTCACCAAGGCAGGTAGTGTGATAAATGAACACACCACTCTGAGGCTAATTACCTAATGGAATACAAGAGCAATGGTCACCCATGTTTCCTTATCCGAGCCTTTATTTCTCTGTCATTTGGATGGCTGGTCAGTGGGGAGGAATTCAGTGGGTGATTTAATCAACTGCAAACCATCTGCCCCCATCCCAAGAAGAGGAGCCAGATTAGCATTAAACCAGTATGTGTCAGCCCTTTGTAATACTGTGCACTAAGGCACTCTCTGTCTCTAACCCTTAGGAGTTGTTTTTTAAGTCATAGTCATCACGCTGAACTTCCACGAAATCTGTCTTCCACCACAACCACCCTGGGAGAGAAAAACATGCTAAACAAGGTTGTCTTGGCTTAGTAATTCCTTATAGCCAGTATCAACAATGGCAATCAGCACACAGAAGAGAGAGCCCAAATCACTATGTAACTTAAAGATTTCTGTTAATTTGAAAGAACAAAAACAATTAAGAGAACTGCATATCCTCCAATCAGGATGATTCCTAACAAATCAGCTATTTGTGAACTTGGTGGACTTTTTGGTTACCTTAATTTGCATATATTCTCCAATTACATCAGAATCTATCTGTGGCCTTGTTCTTCATTTCAGTGTTAATCAGCTAAACAGAAGTTGTTGCTTATGATGTGTGAGTGAACATATGCCACTGCCTGGCCTTTTTTCTTCGGAGCTTGTTGTCTTTTTCGCTATATTAGACTTTGCAGTATGCCCAGAAGCTTTCCTTCATAAAATAGAAAGAAAAAAACATTTGGCTTATTTTTCACTGTAGCTAGTCTTTTATACAATAATCTTGTAAGAAAATTTCTTGAATTCTAAATATTACTCTTTCTAGATTTTTGAAATCGAAAGTTTTCAGTAAAAAGTTTCTTACTTTATTTTATTATATTAGGTAGTAAAAATGTAGGGTTATTTACCATAACCTGTTCATTAATATCAGAAATTTACAATAGCATTTTAAGACCATAGTAGGATTCTAGCATACCGTGTAGTACCTATGGAGTATTGTAAGAGCTACTTGTTCGAGATGAATTGCTTCTCATCTTGTTCTCCAGTTTCCATTGTTGGTTTATTGCAGATTTGTATCCTGTGTCAAATTCAAGGTATTATTGATAAACCTTTTCAACCAGCAGCAAGAAGTTCAAAATTTTTTCTGTCACTGTAACAGAAAACACAATATGTATATAACATTTATGTAGCAATAAATGTGCCATCTTTTTTTTAACATAGTAAACTAGTGAGTTTTTTACATTCCTTTTTCCCACATAATAATGTATTGTTTTCTTTTCTGTATCTCATCTTTCCCAGAAAGGCTTATGTGCTTGTCCTGTCTGCATAATCTGCGTTTTTCTGAGAAACAACAGTAAGACATCAGTGGACTGGAAGAACTAGGGTGATATCTAGCTTGTAGCTTCTCCAGGTTGTGCGTTTCTCTTGTACTTTCTACTGATAGTGGCCTTTAGCCTTTATCTAAAGGTTGGACAAACAGCAGTTAGTAGCTAAAGAAAATCTGCTCTTGTAGATCTGGAGGGAAATGAAGACAATGGAAGGACAGGAGTGAGGCTTTTCAAGTTAATATCCCTTAAGGCACTTTTACATTTCTCATGTCCAGTTTTTAGCACCACCACCCCCCACCAAAAAAAAAAAAAAAATCCTAGTGATTATCTAGGAGAACTTCATGTCAATCAAGAACCAGAGATAGTGACTTTGTAGAGGGCCTTTGCTTAAGCAGCCCAAGGATGGTATCCGACCTGTTAAGATTGGTTCTCTGAATTTTGAATGTGCTTTTCACTTTGGGGGCCCAGCAGAGGATTTTACTTATTGTGGGATTCAGTAAAAACAAACTTTTTTGGTTTGATTTTACACAAAATGATAAACTAAAAAGCTCCACCCAAAAAGAAAATATACAATGTTAGAGCTGAAATTAAATCTGGAGATCATCTAGTACAACCACCTCGTTTATAAATTTATAAAAACTAAGGCTCAGAAAGCTCACATCTCCAAGAGCACAGAATTAGAACAGATCAAAACACTTACAACTTGTCATACAAATCTCCATGCATTTACTTTCTCTTCTTTCTTTTTACAGATGTCTAGATCTAATCTATTCAGGCTTTATTTTCCTCTATTTGTTTCCATTCATGTTTCTTCTAGCTCATACTTTTTTCTTCCCTGAAAACTCAGATTTTAAATAAATATCATGAGAGTGGTGTGTGTGTGTGTGTGTGTGTGTGTGTGTGTTAGAAGTTGAAAATGTTGGTTTTGGCATCAAACAGTCCTTGATTCAAATCCAGATTCAACATCTAATTAACTCCATTTCCTTATCTGAAAAATGGAGATACTTACAAGACTTGTTTAAGTACTGAATGAAACAATGTATGGAAAGCTCTTACCATGATACCTGTCATATAATAAGTACTCAATAAATGATAAATATTTTTTAAATAAATAGTATTATAACCAGCTCCTGGGATGATTCCTCTTTGGCCACCGTATAGAGGTAAAGGGTAAATTCCCAGAAAATGTCAACCACTCTTCATAGGAGTGGACGATGTTCTTTTATAGCAATCTGATGAAACATTACATTTCTTTCAGTGACCTCCCATGGCTTCATTTTAAGTGGATATATATGGTAAATGATTAGAAAATACTAAAATGTTTTTTTTTTTTTTAAAAAAAAGATGTATGAGCACACATACACTCATATTAAACCATGTTTCAAAAGAAAGCACATGCCTGTAATCCTGGTACCAAAATCCCTGGTACAAAAAAAAAAAAAAGCCAGTCATGCTGTTAACAGCTCTTCTCAGTTTGGGTTCTCTGGAGGCAGATTCTAAGATGGAGTTTGAAGAACAAAGGATTATTAGAAGTACCATGAAAACAAAAAGGGAGAAGAAATGGGAGAAGGCAGGGACCATGATGTAGGTCTGATATCTATAAAAAAGAATAGGGGAGAGGAGGAGTAGGTAGAGTCTCAAACAGCCAGCAACTCTGAAAAAGGCCTGGGGGGGAAGTCCAGGTGCAGGTGGTAGAAGGGACCAGCACAAATATTGCCCGTTAAGAAGTCTTGTGTTGAGTAGTTATGGCATGGTACCAATGTTCCTGGTTTGGTCAGGCATTGGTCGAAAGAGACCTGGGGAGACTGAGGCCTGTGAGAACATGGCAACAAGGTGCTACAGCCAGAGACTGACAGCTCAGGACACTTACCCATGGGTTATACTTGAAGGGAAGCCTCAGAGATGCATCTTCATAATTGCCAGCAGTACCTCACTGCTACTTCCTATAAAACTAGCAAAACAAAACCAAAGACACTTCTTCTAAAGTCCCTTGGAATTAAATAGACCTCAACAGGTTAGTGAGTGCTCCAAAAATTGAGGTTCTTTTCCTTCTGGCATTCCACAGTCAAGGAAACCTACACATATCGTCTGAAAGAATGAAATCCATTCCTCATCCCTGGTCTCTGCTGTGAACATATGCAGTCAGGGTACAACCCCTCTATAGTTTCTGTGTTTAGTTTTCTGATGTTCTCATAGGACACAGTGACTCCCTGCCTGCTGGAAATTGTCTTCAACATCTTTGTGATGATCTTAGGCTTAGGAAGTCCACAAAGTCCTCATCATTTGGGGGTGTTTTCCTGTGACTGCACCAGCCCCAGCAGCTCTTCTGCACTATATTGAGCATATGCATAGAAAAAAAAATTTCCCTGTGTTATTTTTATTTCCCTCTAATCAATAATTGTCATAAGACACTGAAGAAGGGTTTTTTCCTCTCCCTTTGACCTCCAATCCCTCTGAATTGATGGCGGGGTCCTGCCTGCTGAGGGTCTCCATTCTCACTCTTGAGGGTCAATGCTCCCCTGGAGAGGTCCCCAGCTAAAGTCTTTCAGGAACTCAAGTCATTTTGTCCTTAGGCATGGCAAGCACAATGCCCAAGTCCTCCAAAGTCTATGAAAATGTTTGCAACGTGAAAAAATAATTAATAATTAATTTTGTAGTTTTTTTTGTCTTTGGTACCATTACCAAAGAAAAAAAAACTACAAAATTAATTGGAAAATAATTACAAAATTCATATAAAATTGTTTATAGTAAAGTTACTATTTAATATAGGACTTGAGCTTATTTTAACAGATTGAGCTAAACTAAATTAGGTATAGAAGAAATGTACTCAACACAATAAAAACCATATATGAAGTGGGCATTGTGGCACACGCTTGTAATCCCAGTGACTCAGAAGGCTGAGGCAGGAGGACTGCAAGTTCAAGGCCAATCTTAGCAATTTAGCAAGACTCTATCTCAAAAATTTAAAGGCTGGGGATATAACTCAGTGGTAAAGCACCCCTGGGTTCAATTCCCACATCTAACATGATCAATGGTGAAAATCTGAAAGTTTTTCCTCTAATATCAGAAACAAGACAATGATGTCCACTCTCACTACTTGCATTCATCATGGTACTGGAAGTCCTAGACAGAGCAAAGAAAGGCATCCATAGTGAAAAAAGTTATATTGTCCCCATTTGCAGGCAATACTCTTGTGTAGAAAACACTAATGACTCTACCAAAAAACAACTAACATTCAGAAAAGTTGCAGGATACAAAATCGATCTACAAAAATTAGTAGTATTTATATACATTAACAACAAATTATCTGAAAAATCAAGAAAATTATTATGTTTACAGCTACAAAAATGTAAAATATTAACCAAGAAGGTGAAATACGTATATGCTAAAAATTACAAAACATCAATTTAAGAAATTGAAGAAACAGTGAATGGGAATATATCCCAAGTTCATGGATTGGGAGAACAAATATTGTTTAAAAAAAAAAAAAAAGTTCACATTACCTCTAATGATTTGATCTTAAATGTCTCCTGAAGTCCATATGTTAAAGGCCTGGTCCCAGCTGATGGCTCGGTTAGGAGGTGGCAGAAACATGAGTGAGTGGGGCCTACTTGGAGGAAGTTGGTTAGTGGGGAATGTGCCCTTGAAGAAGGTAGTAGGACCACCTTCTCTTTTTGCTTTCTGGTTGCCATCAGGTAGGTATCTTCCTCTGCCACATGCTCCTGCTACCATGCTGTGCTATCCCACCACAGGACCAAAAGTAACTGGGCTAACTATGGACCAAAACCTCTGAAACTATGAGCCAGAATAAATCTTTCCTACTTTTAAGGTATCTCAGGTATCTTGTCACAGCAATGGAAAGCTAACTAACAACCTAACCAAACCAATAGAGTCAATGCAATCCCTATCAAAATTCCAATGACAATTTTTTAAAAAATAGAAAAAATGATCCTAAAATCTGAATGTGATCACGAAAGGATCCCAAATAGCCGAAGCCATCTTGTGTGAAAAAAAAAAATGCTGAAGGCATCACATTACCAGACTTTAAAATATTCTATAAAGATATAGTAATCAAAAAGCATGGTGGTCTGGGGTTATGGTCCAGTGGTAGAGTACTTACTTGCCTAGCACATGTAAGACACTGGGTTCAATTCTTGGCACCACATAAAATAATAAATAAAATAAAACTATTAAAAAAAAAAAGCATGGTACTGGTATAAAAACAGACACATAGACCAGTGGAACAGATAGAGAGACCAGAAGCAAATCCACACATTTACAGACAATTGACTTTTGACAAAGGTGCAAGGAACACAATGGGAAAAGAATAGTCTTTAATAAATGGAGATGGGAATTGGATATTCACATGCATAAACCTTCATCTCACTTCATAGACAAAAATTAACTTGAAGTGGATGAAACACTTAAGTAGCCAAAGGAAAAACAAATTGGATGAAACACTTAAGTAGCCAAAGGAAAAACAAATATATCAAACTATAAAGCTCTCACAACAAAGAAAACAATCAACATAGTAAACAGACAACCTCCAGAATGGGATAAAATATTTGCAAACCATACATCTGATAAGGGTTAGTATGCACACTACATAAGGAATGTAGCAGCAAGAAAACAAGATCTGAATGGACACTTCTCAAAAGATGATATACAGATGGGCATCAGGTACTTGGAAAGTGTCCAGACAACACTACTCATCAGGGAAAAACAATTAAATCCACAAAGAGATATCTCCTCACACCTGAATAGCTATTATCCAAAAGACAAAATGTATTGGCAAGTATTTAGAGAAAAAGGAACCCTTTTGCACTGTTTGTGGAAATGTAGATTAATACAGCCATTATGGAAAACAGTATGGACTTCCCTCAAAAACTTAAACCTGGGCATGGTGGTGAGGGCCTGTAGCCCAAGTTACTCAGGGAGCTTAGGCAGTAGGATTACTCAAACTCAGAAGTCCAAAGCCAGTCTGGGCAACAATAATGAGACTCTGCTTTTTAAATAAAAAAGAGGCTGGGGCTGTAGCTCAGTGGTGGTGCATGCTTACCATGTGCAAAGGCCCTGGGTTTGATCCTTAGCACCAAAAGAAGAGATACATAGATGATAGATAAATAGATAGATAGATAGATAATACAATCCAGCAATCCCACTCACGGTTATCTATATAAAGAAAATGAAATCATGTGTTAAAAGATGTCCTCACACCCATGTTCATGGCAGCGTGATTCACAATAGCCAAGAGATGGAATCAACTTAAAATGTCCATCAACAGAAGAATGGATAAAGAAAAAGTGACATATATACAA